CCTCCCTATATCCTGGAATTCCTTATTCTACGCTCATCTATCCACTCTCTCAATACTAGGTCTCAACCTATAGACTTATATGTCCCCTCCCATAACACTTCCTCCTTCAGCAGATCCTTCGTCATTCGTGCTGCTTCCTTATGGAACTCACTTCCTACTTACATGCGTCAATCCTCGTCCACATATTCCTTCAAACAACTCCTGTTCCACCACCTACTCCACATTCAAACTTCCGCTAACATGTAAAGTTACTTGCATCTGTACCCTGTTTAATATCAATCTATTGTACAATTGAAATAACAATTAACAGTAAATTAGTTTGTATTTTTATTATTATGTCAGACTAACTCTGTTATTATTCTTAGGGGAAAGTAGTCCCAGGTTAAAATTATTTTTTCATTTCATTTCATTCATCTACCCAAAGCATGACATTTTTGCATACTTTTTACTCAAATTCAATTAAAAATAGGGTACTTGTCGGTTAGCCGGACAAGACCGACTGCTATCTGCCAATGTTTATAACCTGAACACTGATAATTCTGATAAGGCTCCTCATAATTCCTACCTTCATTTCATATTTATTGTATTATATTCATATTATTGAAATTGTAAACAATAACAAATGTAATAATAAAAAAATACTTTTATTTTACAACATATATATTAAATATTCGAAAACAAATGTAATAATAACAAAACAGTTTGGTTTAAAATTGAAATAGACAAAAAAAAATTTGATCTACTTCAACGACTTTGCCAGGCTCTCAATTTTTTTTTACCTGACCTGTATAATATGTTATGGGCACAAACCTTTCTTTAACATTTGTTCCACATTACGATAGTTTCCTTGGATGGTTTCAGCTGCTCTTTGCCCCACTTTATCATTGTTAGATTATGGGACCACCCATAAATAAATTTTAAAGCCATTAAAAACGAAATACTCGACCTCTCTAACCACGTTCCTTTCCTTACATAAACTTTTTCCTTACAAGTGGTACAAAAGCATCTCCATTTCGCCTTCCTGTCTAACTTCATTTGATGACTTTCTTCACACAATTTCAGAATTATCCCAGCGTTTTGAAAATATTCAATAGCCTCTTCTTCTGAAGACGGTAATTCCCAGAGTGTAATAACATCCATAATTTGACGAAAATAACAGAAATGGAACAAAATTAAACAATGGAATAACTCAAAGCTTTCACGATATAAGAAGGGAGGTTATGTGATGTAACATTAGATAACAAGTGAGGTTTCGTCCAGGTCTCCTAACCAAGTACCAAAAATAGTTTCCAAGGTATCGAACAGCAACTTTATTTTTAATAAATCTAATCTTAATATAAAACTTACTAAACAAGTAAGTTTTTCTAAAAGTAGAGTATCTATAGCCTAATTGAGGGTAATAAAAAATTGTGAATAATCCATGATTTTGCTCAAAAGTCACCTTAGAATGGTTTTAACAATTACGAACTCTGCTTTCATTTCAAGTAAATTTTATATAGTTTGGTTTATATTAGATAGCTAATTAAATAAAATATTTTTTAGTTATCAATTTTACAATAACGTGACTTAGTTAAAAAACACAAAAATTTTTGTAAAAAATTGGATCATGGTTTATATTATACTATCACCTCTTTAAATATTCTCTATTGCTTACAGCACACGCTGTATATATATGTATATATGTATATGTGTGCATTAGTATATATACATGTATGTATATATATATATATATATATATATATATATATATATAATATATATATATATATATATATATATATATATATATATATATATATATATATATATATATATACATATATATATATATACATACATACATACATATATATATATATATATATATATATATATATATATATATATATATATATATATATACATATATATATATGTATATATATATATATATATATATATATATATATATATATATATATCCACACACACTCATTATATATATATAAACAATGTGCATTTTTATGATAAATCGGCAAGAAAGGGCTCTAGGCTTTAGTTAATAAGCATGTTTCTATAAATAAATAGCATGTTCCTATCCAACATCCATATATATATATATATATATATATATATATATATATATATATATATATATATATATATATATATATATATATGTAAGAGGAGAACGCAAATCACGTATTATAAATGATTTGCTGTCTTACAGTGGTCCAGCAAGAAAGGACTATATTTGTACAGATTATGTACAAAATTTTATTCAGGTTATTCCAGAAGAAAATGTCAGTAGCTAACAGGGTGGTAGTCAACCAATAATGAAGTTCAGCAACCTCAATCAAACATTCAAATCACAATCCATTGTCAAGATATGATTTTTCAAACTCCAAGAAAAACATATTTCTCCAATAAAATTATAAATTTTTGTAATATAACTGACCATTTCTAAATATTCCTCATCATTCTACAATGCATTATTTATAACATAACAACCGATTCGTTGGCAATGTCTCTTTACGAGGCTGTCATAAAAGCCAGTGCAAAGTAAACAAGTGGAAATGTAAAATGATCAGAAATTTTCAGTAGAATGTCCAGCAATGAATTTTTTATCCTTTATCATGGGAATTTAAAAAAATTGTTTCTTAATTTCACCGGCTTTTCAATATTACAAAGAACTTTTTAAGGTAGTCTAATCTCGAAGAGGTATTGAGGTTGGGAAGTCAAAAAATGTTAAATACCTGCACCAATATAAGTGTCTAGTATTTCTTTTTATATGACTAAACCACATATTTTCCAAAAACTGATGCTGCTTCCTCTTTATGCTTCCAACAATATTAGCATTTTGAACAGTTTCTGTGTTGGTAAGAATTTTTACCAAAAAATTATTTACTGTTATGATTTTGTAATGAAGTCACCTTGAAGAGTATTTATTTATTTATATTTATTTTTCTTTTCCCAAAAACCTGTTAATATTAATATTGGTGCTAAATATGATTGTACAACATTTTCAATGCTGTAAAGGTAATATAATAATTTGGAGAAAGAATAAAGGGTATTACAAATGTTTGCAGTAGTGATTCAACATCAACCTAAACTTGAAACTTCATTTCCTTAGATTCTGCTGTCTATTTTCGAAAAATATTCATTTTTACTAGTATTTGTTTAGATTGGATTGGATGCTATGATAATCTCACAAAGTAATCTTTACCAACGAATTTATTTTTATTTTATTGGAGTTTATTGTGAATTCTGAAAATATTAACAGAAGTGGAAAATGTACTACATTAGAGAAATTTAGCTTATTATGAAAAAAAGTATCATTTTCATTTAAAATCCTTTTGAAAATCATATTTGAACAACAGATTAATATATGAGTTTGCGCATGAACTTCACTTTTTTTTAGATTTGTTTATACAATGTTTAGTAAATTATCTCTCTCTTAAATACTTACATTTCTTTCTGAGACAATCTGTATATTATATATACATATACATATATATATATATATATATATATATATATATATATATATACTCATTTGCAATAAAGTAGAGAATTCAAAATAATATTAAAAAAAAAAAAAACTTAATTCTTATTTAATGATTTTAATTTTTGAAAGATAATTCACTTTTATATGTTTAAAAGTAATAAATCAAGAAAATTTGTTAAAAGAAAACTGTGTACATTGGTTTTATAGGGTTTAGAAATTCAAAGGTAAATTTAAAATTTTGAAAAACTATTATTATTTTTGTTTTAGTACCTTATTGGTCCACCTCGAGCATTAATTACTGCCTGAAGATAGCAGTGACATACTTGTTATCAGCATTTTGATGCTATCTTGAGGGATCGTCTCCCATTTCTCTAAGTGCTGTGTGCAATTCATCCAGAGTTTGTGGAAGGGTAATCCCTCTTGAAATCCAACTTTGAAGCTTATCTCATAAATTATCAATGGGATTAGCTCTGGAGAGCAAACAGGACAATTCAGGCGATGAATTTCTCAATTTTGAAAGAATGCATTTATGTGTATAGCTAAACTATAGCAACAGAACACTCTAATGTTATAGCTATAGTATGCATTTACGAGTTCAGCCATGCTATCTTGAGGGCTTATCTCACATTCCTCTAGGTGCTGTGTGCAGTTCATTCAGAGTTTTCGGAAGGGTATTTCCTCCTGAAAAACATATTTGAAGTTGATCTCATAAATGTTCAATTGGGTTTAGGTCTGAAGAGCAAGCAGGCCAGTCCAGGGGGCAAATTTTTTGATTTTAAAACAATGCATTTACGAGTCTAGCTCTATAAGGTCTGTCTAGCTTTGTCATCCACAAAAAAGAATTTTGGGTCAATTTCTTCTGGCATAGGTTGTATTGTTGGTGCTAAGCCTCTATCCAAGCAAAGCAAGCTAGTGGGGCAGTCATACTCTAATTTAGTAACACCACAAGCTGTGTTCATAAGCCTGAGGATATATCAATCAATGCTATAATTAACATCTGTTAAGTATTAAAGGGGTTTTTTTGAGCTCGGACAGTCAAATATCAGTCTTGTTGTATGGTATGGATCTTTGAGATCATCTCCCATGTATATATATAATGAAACCAATATTTTGGTAACGTCTCCATGCGCGACTTACCATACTTTGTGAGATTCATAGCCTTGCTGACACATTTTTCTGTGTATCACCTCCTTCCATAGCATCTGTTGCAAGCTCTGCTGCAGTTAGATTTAATGCAAACATTCTTTAATACCCAGAACATCTTTTAAAAAAGATTAATAATAAATACTAAAAACAGTTAGTGAAACAAAATAGATTTACGACAAATAAAATGAAGTGAACACAAGCTTTAATTGAACTAAACTGAAGATAATCTCCACTTTTATTTATATTTGAGAGAGTTTATTTCAAAGGAAATAGACCATCGTAAGTGTACGCAATCAACAGGTGTCAAATTGGAAAAATATTGATTCTTCACAATTTTATAAACAGTTAATGCAATGCAACAAGTAATTCACTTCATTTGCAAATGAGTATATATTTTTTCTTTTTATGGTAAACCTGCAAGAAAGGAATACAATTTATAAAGAACTTTGCCTACATATTATAATAAAAGGTATATTTTTATGTGCCAATATTGTTTAATTTATTGATCTAATATATATAACTTCAAAAACTTTTTACAGACCCCTATTTGTGAAGCAACTGTTACGGGACTTAAAGAAGGTAATCAGTATCAGTTTCGAGTTGCAGCAATCAATAAAGCTGGACCATCTGATGTTAGTGATGCTTCTAAACTTGTTACAGCAAAACCAAAGAACTGTAAGTATATATATATATATATATATATATATATGTGTGTGTGTGTGTGTGTGTGTGTGTGTGTGTGTGTGTGTGCGTGTGTGTAGCCTATTGTTTTTCATCACTATAGTGTCTAGATTTTTAAAATATTTATATATATATATATATATATATATATATATATATATATATATAGTGCATTTATTTTTATTTTTTATTTTTTTTCAGTAAAACCATGTATAAATAGAGAGAAATTACATAAGATAACAGTAAGAAATGGTCAAATGGTGAAACTTGATGTAGATGTTAAAGGTGAACCTCCTCCACAAATTAAATGGTTCTTTAAATCAAAAGAACTTGAGAATGATTTACGTTTGAAAATAGAAAATGAAGATTATAATACAAAATTTGTATTGAGAGATACATCACGATCTGATTCTGGAAAATATATTATTACTGCTGAAAATGTGAATGGGAAAGATGAAGCAGATGTTGAAATCAACATACTAGGTATGTTTTAACATTCAACTTTTTGAAAGTTAATTCAATTTGAAAAAAATATATATGCTAATTAAGCATTACTGAATCAATTACTATTGGAGCTATTAAACGTACAATGGTGTGTACAAGTCTTTGAACAAACTAAATTTTTATGAGAATAATAAGTGTTTCAACTTAAAAGTTTTTTTGTAGTCTTAATTATAAGCTGATTTAATCATTCAGACATTGTAGATGTAATATCTATTTAAATTAGAATTATTTTCAATCAACAACAAGTCAAGGGACCATTCTATTGTGTTAACGTTTTTTCGTCCTCTGAATAATGGTACATTATTATTTAAATTTCACTACTTTGTTATCCACTTCAGTCTTTACTATTTATTGTTAATGTCAAGAACCGTTGTATAAATTATTGAAAGTTGAGTGTATCTGTATCTGAATTCTTCACCTTTTCTTTTGGTAATTTAATTTAACATTGCATATTTCTTAATTTTTTTTTTCTATTGAATGTTACTTATATTTCAGACAGTAAAACTATCATATAATAAAATATTTTGTGCATATAATGCATCATTGATGCAAAGTTATAATTTTATGTTGGTCAATGATATGTTATTTTCACCATTTTTTGAAATAGAAGTAACATTAAATAGAAAGCAAAAATAAATTGTGAAACATGGAATGTAAAATTAAATTATAGAAAAAAAAAGAAGAAGAATTCCAATATCGGAACAACTTTTTACAGATAATCTCAACTTCCTAGAGTTTATAAAATGGGTGTTAACATTAACAATAAAGAGTATAGACTGAAGTGGATAACAAAGCAGTGAAATTTAAATAATAAGGTAGTATTATTTAACGATAACTTCCAATCCCTTCCAGCACATTATGGCAAATTCCTTGATTATTTTCACCCCAATTTCTACCATATCGTTGCCATATCTGAAACTTGGCTCAAACCCCTCACCATCCGTTTCTTTAACCGACTACACCCTCTTTTTTCATGATCAGGCGTCATTCAAAAAATGGTCAATCCGGGAGAGGTGTCAGTCTGTTCATTCATGATAGTTTGAGGGTTAAAATCCTTTTAAAATCTCTTCTGGCATCCCTCACATTAAATATCTATTTGTCCAAGTTTCCTCAAGAACCTCTTCTCTACTCTGAATCGTTATTTATCACTCCCTTTGTATCCGATTTGATCCCACTTTTGAATCCTCCCTCCTTACATATATGCCTATTTTAAAAAATATCATTATTGCAGGTGATCTCAGCACTAATCTCCCTGCAGACTATTCAGACAGAACATACCATATTTACCTGTTTTTCTCCCCAGACCTACTGTTATACCCTTTCGACCCACCCATCTACCCAGTTCTCTGATACCTGGTCAGACTTATTTATCATTGATTCCTCTCAAAACCTATTATCCTCCTCGAAAAATCCTGTTTCTTTTCTCTCATCTCATGATCTTATCAAAATTTCATACTATATTATTGTTTATACATTTATTTCATAACAGATTTCCTGGAAAGATCTTTGTTCCCTAACCATTGAAAATATCAGTCCTTATCTTGATTCTCTATCAGTTTCCTAAGAACCCATCTACTCCATTTTCTCCATTGGTATAGTGAATATTGGCCTGGTGGAATGCCTTTCTTCTAACCTCTTTTATTTTCTTAACCACCAGGCTCCTCTTAAAACCTGTACTTTTAGATGTCCCTCTGCTCCCTGGATAAATTCAGAAATTAGAGGATTAACTAGAAAAAGAGAGGCTGACAGAAGATGATGCAGGCGTACAGGCCTGCTCCAACACTATACTATCTTCAAATCTCTAGAAACAGTATACAAATATCCTTACATCACGCCAAAGTGCAATATTTTAACAATGTATTGTCCCAAGCACCTAATCATAAACCCAAGTGGACAATCCTCAGAAACCTCTCTTTCATAAGCACGGGCGAATCTACGGCGGGGGGGGGGGGAGGGGAGCTTTCAGGCTGAAGCCCCCCTAAATGGTAAAATATAACCATGTTTTCAGGAAAATAAAATTTTAAAAATACCTCTTAAAGTATTATTGTTCGTGTAAGTACATTTAAAAGGACTTAAGGAATAACTTAAACACCATTTCATATAGGTAGTTAATTTCTTTCTGTTTTTCCAAAGTAATTATCGTTATTTTTATAAAAAAAAAAAAAAAAGGTTTCGGGCTGAAGCCTCCCCCCAAAAATTAAATTCAGTAGATCCAAATGAACTGCATTCCTTTTTCGCAAACCATCTTCTTTCTGTATTCACATCTGATCTCTCATTTTTTTTCCATCACTGAAACCTCTTTTGACCCAGATAAGTTTTACTTTCTTGATATTTTTCCAACTGACCTACTCTCTACAATCCTTAAACCTAAAACCAACGACTATTGTCCTGAAAAAATTCATTGTCCAGCCATTGAACAACAGACCCATTTCCATTTTATCCACTCCTCTAAAAGTTTAGTTCCCTTACTTTACTTTACCTCAATAACCACCCATACATTTCTTTCCAGCAGTCAAAAACCTCGGAGTGATCTTTGATCAGAACTTCTCTTGGAATTACCAGATTTTCCAGATTACACACAAACCCCTATAATTCAAAACTATCCTTAAACAATTGCTATGATTCCGTGATTATGTTCCCAAATAATACAGACAGCTCCTTGTAACACCCCTATGGTTATACTCCAATATGGTTGCTTGGTGTATGGAGGGTTGTTGATAAGACTGAAGAGACCCATGAATTGTTTCATAAGATTCATCTTTGGTATTTCCAGGTGTTTCCGAGTTTCCTGCTTGTACACAGAGTTGAAGCGGCTCTATCCTGCATCCTGACAGCAGTTTCTTCTTTGTGTTTTCCTTTTCCAAGTCCTAAGAATCAAAAATCCTCCCAACATCCTAGAACTCCTTACTTTACATTCCTATATACACTCTCTTACTACCAGATCTCTATCTATAGATTTATATATCCCTTACCATAAAACCACTTCCGTCAGAAAATCCTTTGTCATTCATGCTACCTCTTTTGGAACTCCTTACCTATCTCTAAACGTCAAACCACGTCCACAAATTCCTTCAAACAACTTAGGAGTTATATATAGGCTCCACCACTTACTACATGTTCAAACTTCCGTAAGCTTGTAACAATTTTTAGGTTATGCAAATACAGTTGCTTACCAACAGATAATTGATAAGAGCTCTTTTATTTTTTTCTCGTAGTATTTATATATATATATATATATATATATATATATTTGTTTTCCTTAGTATTTGTTGTATATATTTGTATTTTCCTTATTATTTTTTGTATATATTTGTATTATATCTGCATACCAGACTGATGTATATATTTTTTGAACTCTGCTATCATACTAAGGGGAGTCGCTATCCTAGAATAAAATTGTTTTTATTTTGTTTCGTTATTCAGAGGACAAAAATAATCAACACAACGGATTGGTCCCTTGGCTAGTTATTAATTGAAAATACTGCTAATTTAAATATATATTACATCTTTAATGTCTACAAGGTTAAATCAGTTTACAATCGCAAAGATAAAAACACTTTTAAATGGAAACATTTATCATTTCTTTATACAAAATTTGGTTTGTTCGAAGACTTTTTCATACCACTGTACATACGCTATGCCGAACAGATTAATAATTTTCATTAAAACAGGAATTTAAAGTATGCAACTATATTTCATTTAACACTATTAATAATTTCATGAATATAAATTAAGAAGAATAGGCATACTTTTATATGTGGTAGTAATGAATAGAATTACCAATATTAAGAATTACCATTCCTTAACATAATCCATACGGGCTAACTTTAAACCTAAATATGGATGATGGGATATTAGACTGTTGAAAAGCATTATATAATTTACATATGACAAACTATTAATGTTCTATATTTACAACAACATGTCGTTATTTAAACTAATAAAAAATGAATTACCAAGCATACAATTTCAAACAAACCTTTAGTAGTTTCTTCTATTATTTTTATTAAATTTATTGATATTAAATTGGTTCTAAGTTTATTTTTTAAATATCATTTTATATTTCTTGTTATAGACAAACCATCAGCACCCGAAGGACCATTGGAAGTAACTGATGTCCATAAAGAAGGATGTAAATTATCTTGGAAACCACCAAAGGATGATGGTGGTCTTCCTTTAACAGGTTTTGCTATAGAGAAAATGGATGTATCCACAGGACGATGGGTTCCTGCAGGTTTTGTTGAGCCTAATGTAACAGAACATGAAATTACTGGCCTTGAACCTGGGAAGAAATACCACTTTCGAGTAGCAGCTATTAATGAGGAAGGAGAATCTCCCCCTCTTGAAACTGATACTGCAATCATAGCAAAGAACCCTTATGGTATGTAAACAGGAAATCACAATGAGTTAGTTACTTATTTCATAGTTAAAATATATTTATGTTTAATCAAGGATATTTAAATAATTTGTTCTTCATTCATAATAAATACTTTTAAGAACTTTTTATTTTCTCCTAGACCATCCCTGATTGATGGAATATAAATGTCTAGTTCTAAACCAGATATCATTATTGAATTTGATTTCAAAATTAATCTTTGTTTTACCAAGCATGAAATTAAAATGTTATGCATAAATTGGAATGCAATTTATCAATATTTTATTGAAGTTACAACTTTATCAACTTATTTGTATAATTGCTATTATCCAGTTCTCTATCAGTTGTTTCAATTTATAAGATTTTCACTTTCCGATAGCTATTGCAACTTCCTCTTTACTTGGTTATTCTATTAACTGTTTGGCACTCTGGTATATTTAGAAGGAGGACCCAGATCATTATTATATGTATATATATGTTCCGGTTAGAGTCAATATATAACTAACCGTTATATTTGATCCCTAGATTCAAATAAAATAAATTTGAGTACTCCATTTGAAATAAACTCACTTTTATTTCAACAAAAACTTTACAAACGGATTTTAGAATTTGAGACTTTTTACAACAATAATAATTATTCACATATGAATATTTTTAACAATGTGAAATCATTTAAATATTTATAAAATAAAAATCACTTTTGACTGACTTCCTAACATCCTATGACTTGAGGAGTTTTGAATTGTTTCTTACAATTCAAAAAATAATAAAACAAAACCAGAGGAACACTCTTCAGTTTTTAAATCCTGGAGTTCCTTTTTTTCCTCTTTTTGGAATGCTTCTTTTTCTTAGAAGTACCTCTTTTGACCCATTCTATTTCATACGAAGAAAACTCACTGTCTTCATTTGTAGCAGTTTTCTCTATGAAAATTGGTTTAGTTGATAGTGGGGAACCAAACATTAGTTCTGGAGCAACAGCTGTATCAACAGCTGATGATGTTTTAATATCATTTACATTTTGAATTTTATTGACATCACACTGGGAGAAATTTCTTAGGTTGAATATTTTTCAAAGTATCGTTAGCTTCTATCTTTATAAAGCCAAGATATCTTTCAAATCTCACTTGTTTAGCAGGATCACCAATGAATGGTCTAAACCTAACTCATCAGAACTTTTGTCTTCTTCAGTATGTGTTTCTTCATTGAGATCAGTTTTAACTTCCTTTTGATGGTCTGGCAATGATTCTCCTAAAATGATCGCTCTTTCAGAAGAATTAACTATATCTTCTCCTCTCACGGCCTGGACATTTCCAATAACTTCAGGACCAAATCCTAATTTTCTTTGAGCAATATTTGTAAAGTCAGGTTGCAGTTTAGGAGATGGATAATATTTCTTTCAGCGGATTTGGCTTTTAGATGGCATAAGCCCTTGAATGCAATTGTAATATTTAGTCACTACAAGCACCTTCTTTTTGTTTTTCTTTCCTCCTCGCCTCCTTCAAACTAGCACTGTCTTTCAAACAAAATTCGTTTCTGGACATATTATCTTTAGCATATATCTCTTTATCTTCAATCTCAAATGCCCTCATGCTTTCTTCCTTAGCATCATCTTTTGCATATATGTCTTTATCTTCATACTCGACTTCTCTGACACCAAATGCCTGACTACGAATTGATGATTTCTTTTTTATTTATATATTTGAATATATAGTGGAAATTGAATATATATATATATATATATATATACTTTCTGTACTATTATTTTAATAATACTAAATTAATTTCCATAACTCAATCAATTAAAATTTTTAACTAATCATCATTCTTATAAATATTATTAATTTATGTAGACCCTGGAGTTTACTGGATGGTTTAAAGCTATAATTTTACTTCAAAAGATATTCTTTGTTTCTTTTATAATTTTTATTTGTATGAACAGGTTTTTTTTTGTACTATTTATTTTTTAAATTAATCATTTTTTAATACACATCATCATTAATGCTATTCAGCATTTTATTTAAATGCACATTTATCCTCATGGATTTATTATAGGTGATAAATATTCAGAACGCAGTCTTTTTTATTTGTGCCAACGTTTCAACCCAAACATGTGGGTCATCTTCAGCCCTTTAAAAGACTGCGTCCTGAATATTTATCACCCATGATATGTAGAACAGTCGACTAGCTTCCTTCAATAACTCATGGATTTATATTATTTTAACAATTTAAAATAAATCAATATGCAAGGCACCAGTGAGTGGCCTATGGAAAAGGTATAGCCAAATTTCTTTATATTTTGAAGACGCAACCGCCACAACCTCAAATTTTATTGATAAGAGGGCAAACACTCTGATGCACTCACTAGATTTATTCAATAAGAGTTGAATGAATCAACAATAGACGTTAGAATCAACTTAAAATATTTGTCTTCAAAATCAAGTGTCTCAGTTTTGTAGTAATCTTTGGGAATATGTTCTTATTGTAATTAGAAATTATTATTGTAGCTGGTTTATTAATCACATCCTTGAATAATATAAAAAAATAACAAAAGAAAATGGGTAAGGTATTGGATAACTATAGGAAATTCCCTAATAAACAAAAAAAAAAAAAACTGATGCGTCTTAAATTTGAAGGCATCTCATATTTGATGTAATACGGTAACTTCATCATTTATCTGTCTTAATTTTATTTTTTAAAGGTATGTTTTCTTAGCAACATTTGGAAACGTTGAATTGACTGTACACTGCTGAATACTCAAAATTATCCATGTTAAATTTTGTTAAATTAGATTGTTTTCCTAGGAACTGTAAATGGTGGTATTATCCTTTCATCACTTGTTAGTTTGAAATTATTGTGAAAAGATCAAAAGTACAGTATTTATCTAAAATAAGGAAATTAGCATTATTATCAATACTAAATTAAATAGATGATGATATTGACAGTTACCCTACATTTAATTATATAAGAAATCCTGTCAGTGAAATATTTTCTTCATAAAAAAATGAAGAATAATTTCAATTGTTAATTAAACCTTTTAGTAGAGAACAAAGTTAAATTTAAGTATTATTTTATATTTATTTGAGAGTACTTCTTGTTTCTTCTCGATCTCACAAAAGATAATTTGCCTACTCATAGTTGTAGAGTGAATATCCCTTGAAAACCTATTGAAAATATTTGTCTCACTTTAAGGTAATTACGGGAATAAAAATTAAAAAGAATACGTTTTCAAAAGAATGAAATTATTTGGAAACGATTAAGATTATTTAAAAACATGAAAAAATTGAACAATAATTAAAATCATCATTATTATAAATTTACTGTTTAAAAAATATTTAATATACATACCAATCGTCAGCCTCACCGATATGGGTGCAAATATCAGTTTAGTTTCAATATTATATTATAGTTCAATACATATTTTTAACAATAAAAACAATTATTTTAAGAGTTAAATAATAAATTATAAACTATACAGTACCTGGTATTTGAACTATTCTGTGTCCAAAACCGATAGATTTCTCCTGGTGCAGTGGTGTTTAAATCATTGTCCTTGAGCATCACAATATTCAGTAGTTTGGTCCCTAGGAAAACTGCACCAAGGCTCTCCATTGTCCTAGTATGCGCTATAAAAATTTCAACGATTTATGTTACACTTATACACTTCTAGGAAAACGTACCTCAAGTTTTAGGTTCTTTTGCTGACAGTTAAATTTTTTCAGATGTTGCATCCGCTCCTGGATTGCCTGAAATCATAGATTATGATGAAAACATGGTTGAATTAAAGTGGGATCCTCCTATAAGAGATGGAGGGGCTCCAATTACTGGCAAGTTTTCATATCTTTTTATATAAATGCTGATTATGTGTTCTATATAATACTAAATATAGAATAAATATATTGTGTATAAATATAGCTGTAATGTATCAAGCACTTCATAGTTTATGCAACACGAACAATTTCAATTTATTTTTCTTAATCAAATTTGTGTGGTTATATCTAAAAAAAAAACATATGTCCGATTACTGAAAAGGTTAAAAATTAAATCGATATTACTACAAAAGATTAATATACTACTCTGGCGTTAAAGGTGAATAAAACTTTAAACTGTTACAAATTAAATTTTAAATATAAGTAAAACTCTTAATTGTTTTAATTACATAATTAACAAGAGTATTCATAATATTAACTTTTTTACCAATCGGTTTAATGTTTTTTTAAAAAACAAAACAAAAATATGTAATAAAAACTACTAAAGATTAAATTCTAAACTCAATGATTGTTTAAATTCTCCACAAATTTATAATTATTTTAATAAAACAATTAAAAATTGAAACTAAAGGAAAGAAAATCCAGTTGTTATGCATGAATGAATGAAATAAATTTTATTTTTCAAATTTACAAAGAAATACAAATTCTAATAAAGAAATAAATTTACAAAAAAGCTGTGTGAGACCCATTAGCTTGATAATTGTTAGGTATTATATTTTGATAAAGATGTACTTGCTAATACTTTTTAACATTCATTGTCATGTAAAGGTTATGTGATTGAGTATAAAGCAAAAGATGATCCAAAATTCATAAAAGCTGTAGAGATACATGGAGATATTAGAAAGGGGAAAGTACCAAAGTTAGAAGAAGGAAATCAGTACCAATTTAGAGTTCGAGCCATTAACAAAGCAGGTGTTGGAGAGCCAAGTGAAGCAACCAATCCCCATACAGCAAGAGCCAGATTCGGTAATTTGACAATTTTATACTTTTGCAGTAACAAAAATTTCATAAACTTATAACATTAATTTCATAATTAAATAATCAACATAATTTGGAAAATGAAACATTTAAAAAAATCATTTCATTTCCAGTTAAACCTCGAATAGATAGAACTAATCTTGAAAATCTTGTCTTCAAAGTTGGACAGACTATATCTATTGATGTAAATGTAATTGGTGAACCACCTCCAACCATCACGTGGCATTTCAAAGATCAGGTAAGTATTTAATTCTCTGAAAGTTGTTTTTTTATTCAACTATTTCATTAATTAATTCTACTATGATGTTTTTAACCATTGAATTGGTAAAAAACTATTTTTTTTTTAAATTCATTTTGGTTTTAACTTCATTTATGAATTTTTTTATGTTAAAGTTAAATATTAAAAGGTATTACAAATGATATTCTTATCAGTTATTTTTATTTATTATAATGGCACTACACTCCTGTAAGAACCCGGGCCTCCTCCTCTACAGCCAACCAATTTGCACAATCCTGTGCTACCTCCCTTCTCATCAGTTATTTATCTCTACTTATCAGTTATCGATGAAAAATTTGCTAATTTCTTTTAAAAAACTTATTTATCAATGTTTTATTTTATACAATTTATTTGTTTTATGTTTATTCCCATATTCATTAATTATATTGATGGTTTGGTCTGTGATAGTTTTAAACAAGAGGTTTGAATGAGGAGAAATACTTTTTATTAATATTCACTTAGTCTAAAAAAGGTTCATTTCGTGAATATTATAAAACTCACACAGTCTAGGCAAGAAGATTATACCAGTTATTTTTACACACACACTTCAGAGTGGAGCACAACAATGGTGCCAACAATCAACAATCAAATTCAAATCTTAATACCCTGCCTAAAGTTAAACATGTTTAAAAATAAAATACTGAAAACATTTCATCTTATTTTAACATTATACATTTACATAGTATTATTATATGAATATAACAATAAATCAATAAATTCAGAAATCAATATATATTTAGTTTCATTATGAAGAAATCAAATTTGTTTTGGCTTAAGCCCTTGATGAATATGTCATCAATATTGTTCTGAGTATCGACATAGTCCATCATTATTTTCTTCTTATCAACAAGATCTTTTATGTAATGAAATTTTACATCAATATGTTTAGATTTCTTACTATTTTCAAAACATTCTGCCATATTAATTGCACTTTGATTGTCTGTTAGTAATTTAGAGGTACCTACAGAGTTCTATTGTAAATCAGTTTGGAGGTATACCAGTTCTCTTGCTGCGACTGAATGTGAGATGTATTCTGCCTCCGCTGTTGAATTTGTGACAGTCGGTTGCTTTCTTGAAGCCCAAATGATTGGATTATTTTCCTGGAATATAACACATCCACTTATACTCTTCTGGCCGAGTTTGTCTCCTGCCTAATCTGCATCTAACAAGTTAACGTCATGTCCGTGTGATTATCCAATGTAGTCATATTCTCTATCTTCTTAATATATCTCAGGATTCGTTTTCCTGCTTTCCATTCTTAATTAGTGGGTTTATTTAAAAATCGACTAAGATAGGATGACGCATATGCTATATCTGGCCTAGTGACCATTGCAAGGTATATACATGATCCTATAAGCTGTCTAAAAGGAATATTTTCATCGATTGGTTCATTAGGGACAATCTGAAAATCGTTATCCATAGGTATATCCGCACCTTTCCATTTCAACATATTAAATTTCATTAAAAGTTTTTGAATAAAGTTATTTTGGCTCATTATAATTATGTTTTCTTGTTTTGTTATGATTGTCCCCAAAACTTCTCTAAGAATTCCCAAATCTTTAGAGTTAAATGCCTTTCTGCACTGATGAAGACCGGCAAAGTGGGTCGAAATGTCGGCGAAAATTAAATAATTACTATATTTTAATTTAGTATTTATTTGATCGCACACCCTGATTAACTCCTTCTGATAAAATATATTCTTAAACTGAATGCTAAAATAAATGATTTTCTGTTTATTTTTTTAATTTTAATAATTTAATGTTATTAAAATAATTTTTATTTTCAGGAATTGTCAAATAATGATGAACTAAGAATTGACAATGTTGATAACAATACCAAACTGTTGATAATGAAAGCAAAGCGTGCTAATGGTGGAGATTATACCATTAAAGCGGTAAACTCAGTTGGTTCTGATGAAGCAATATTTAGCATTTCCATATTAGGTATGAATGTTCATGTGTTTTACAAATATATATATACATATATATATATATATATATATATATATATATATATATATATATATATATATATAAAACATTAATTAATGTTACAACTAGAGTTATGTACGATCTGTATTGTTAAGTATAGTACAATCTGGTGCGATGGGCGCATCATACAGCTTTCACTTAACATCCTTCTTTTGACAGAAATAATTATGTTCTGACAAAGGAAATAAACAGTTAAATTACAAATGGTACAAAATATTTTTTAAAACAATTACCATGTGTTTTTCACAGCTGTCTAATGTATTATTGGTACATATGTTTGTTTTTTTTCACTAACTATTTCCGTTAACTGTTGTATAATTAAATTATTGATTTATTATAATAACTAATTAAATACAACAGGATATTTATAGTCCGACAAGTATGTCACTGATAAAGAAGGCCACTATATTTATTTATATTTCATTGTAGGTATTTTTATTTGTTTAAGCATTGGTACATATACAAAGTTTAATTTTTATATTCATGTAATCTATACAATTAAATGTTATATAATATCAATGCTTGCATTTAGGAAAACAGCATCTTATATATGTATAAAATATTATTGGAGCTCACATTGTATCATGCATGTGTGTATGGTGCGCACTCGGGTTTACAATCCCTTATTTCTCCTTTATTTAATTATAAAATTCTTTAATATTTTATATTTCACCATTTTTAATATCAATTTATGATATAAAATGATTAATTATTTAAAATAAAAGAAATTAAAGGTACTTTAGAGGAAGAATTTTTTTAAATTAGTCATTTAAGTCCTGTCAGAGAACATCAATGAAAATAAAACCTACATTATATTAAAAACCGCTTAATTTTACTCTGCTATAATGAATTTAATCAAAATTATTAGAGCCGTTTTTGAGAAAATCACAAAAATTTGTAAAACCAATAATATAAGAGGCTTTAGACGTACTAGGCTCGCTGACGACTACCAAGCGTTTAGAGGTGCTCCGTAACCTGACACAAACCAAAATCCGAAGAGCCAAATCCTCCTATTTCCACGAAGCCCTTTCATCAGCTCCTGATTCCAAAACCAAATGGCAACTCCTTCGTAAACTCTCCCTCTGTGATTCTTCCAGATCACCTTCCGCAGCAGTCTTTCCAGTCAAACCTGATGATTTAAATGCATATTTTATATCAGCTTCCTCCTCCATTCCTCCATCAACCTCTTCCTTCTTTACTCCTGGAATATCATTTAACGACGACAACTTTTATTTTTCAGATATTTTTCCTACAGACCTCATATCCACCGTGATGAAATCTCATTCCAATTCCATTGGTCCAGATGGTATTTCCGTCAAATTAATAAAATTGTGCCTACCTGAAATCCTTCCCGCTCTCCTTTTCATCTACAATTTTTCCCTTCAGAAAGCAATATTCCCTTCCTCATGGAAAAAAGCCATTGTCCGTCCTTTACTTAAAAATCCTAACCCTTCTTCCCCTGAAGATTACCGTCCAATCTCAATCCTTTCTAACCTTGCAAAACCTCTAGAACGAATAGTCCAATCCCAAGTTTCCAACTTCCTAGAACAGTCCAATCAACTTGACCCTTACCAGTCTGGTTTTCGACCAGGCTACTCCACACAATCCGCCCTAATCAAAATCATTAGTGATGTTCAGTCGGCCATAGATAACAAAAAACTAACTGTCCTTATCCTCCTAGACTTTTCCAAAGCCTTTGATACCATTAACCATTCCATCCTTTTCTCCAAATTGAAATCGTTATCCTTTTCCAACAGCTCTATCCTTTGGTTTCAATCATTCCTCTCTCAACGTACCCAAGCAGTCTCTATCCCCAACCAACCTTTATCATCCTATCTAACTCTGTCCTCAGGAGTGGCACAGGGCTCCAGCATATCTCCTCTCCTTTTTAGTTCATATATTAACGATCTTCATAATCAATCCTTCACTGTTCCCATCACCTTTATGCCGATGATTCCCAAATTTACCTCTCCTTTGCTCCCTCTGAATGGCATGATGCGTTTGCCAAAATACAAGAAGACCTAAATCGGATTTGTGCCTGGGCAAGTGAAAATGGATTAAGGTTAAACGCTGCTAAAACCCAAGCCATTGTCATTGGTTCCAAACCTCCTTCTCAGATCCAATACCAACATTCCTCTCCTGTACCTAAATGACCAACCCATCACCTTCAACACTTCAGTTAAAAACTTAGGTGTTATCATAGATCAAACCCTCTCCTGGAATCACCATATTTCCCTCATATCCCGACGTTCAATTTCCATCCTGAAACTCTTCCATCGCTTCCGCCATCTCCTACCTATATCCACACGTAGACTTCTAGTATCCGCCCTCATCTTCCCCCACATTGACTACGGCTGCGTAGTGTACGGTGGCCTCTCATTGGAACTTGGAGACAGACTGAAAAGAATAACGAATGGCTTAGTATGATTTGTCAATGGAACCCGAGACGTTCTCATGTTTCCCACTACTACGCCGAGTTAGGGTGGCTCTTTCCCTCCTTCAGAAGACAGTATTTCCTAGGTACATTCCTTTACCAAATAATCTATAATCATCGTCCGTCCTACGCATTCAATCTCCTTCAATTCAAGTCATCTATCCACTCCCTCTCCACAAGATCTCGTCCTTCCGACCTTTATACCCCTTTCCACAAATCGGCCTCATTTCAACACTCCTTTATTGTCCGCTCCACCACATTTTGGAATTCCGTCTCACTTAAAATCCGCCATGCACCATCCTTATCCACATTTAAAACCCCCTTATTCCAATTCCTCCTTACAGTTCAATCAGAAGCTGGGTAGCCATTCATAATGTATATTATATATGTATATAATCTCCCCTATATGTATATTATCTTTTCTTTTCTCCAATCAATCAAAATCATAGGATTTAGATTATATAGAACTTGTATAATGTTTACAATAATATTATTGTATTCTTTGAACATACTAAGATACATAAGTAAATCATTTAAAGTAAATATTTATCCACTCTTTTATTATTATTTTTTTTCATTAATACAATGGCATGACAACAAAAGTTATTTGTCGCTCATTTATAATTCCATAGCTTATTGTTTATAGCAACTATTTTGCAGTATTAGGATCTTATTGCTCATATTATGTCTTTACTATATCTGTACAGTTATGTAAATACTTCTTTTATCCCTTATTTTTTTTTATTGTAATATGCATTTTGGCCAGATGTAATGTTAATTTTATGTACAATATTGTTATTCTCAAGGGACTTTGTCCCACAATAAAGTTGATTCTTCTATTCTATTCTATTCTATTCTATAAAGTGGCACTTTCGATTAGCCGAGTTATATTAATAAGTTGCTGTAACATCCCAGGCAGGCACAAACCTTAAATACGCAATTACACTTTCTCAAGACTTTTCGCTTTTGTGCTAGACTCTTCACTTACATACACACACAGACCATTTTGGGGGACTTGGTTATTTGAACTCAGCTGACCTCTAAATGTGTATATCCATTGAAAACTTAGATTAGAAAATTTTCACGATCACAATACTTTCCCTTCGCATTACATATATAAGTAAGTGAAAATAAAAATTACATATAAGCTATAGGTTTCATGAACATCTTGATACAAACAAATAAACAGAAGATTGAAGGTTAATACAACGAGGAAGGTATAAACACAAACATTACCATCTGCAGCAGTTGAGGCTAGGATGAACGAACACTGTTGTTTAGGTGTGTAAGATCAGAGCTAAAGAACACAGTAGTCACATTGCCTGCTATATGAGCTCCTATTGAAGCAATGCAAATTCAAATTGCCGTTGAGTTTTTGAAAGGAGAAGAATGTGCTGTGTTTCTATGAACAAGTGACTGTAGACTATTGGACAGCCACTTCAATTGCTACTGCAAGATTAAAAATCCAAACAACATTCATTGAAAAAGAAGAGGGTATTTCCATATAGAGCTCTTTCCCTAATTTCCTCCAAAAATTCTAGCCAAACTGACACCAATCCAATAGCAACTTAAAAGAAATATATTAAAAGTAGAACAAAACAATAATAAAACAACAACATAGAACTGAATAAAGGTAAAACAAATAGCTCAAAGTACTAGTCCTTCAAACTATACTCACAGAATTCTCTTGTCCACCTTGGATACACATTTACACAGGCGTATCTGCAGAAGAGGCTATGAGGAATGGATGAAAATTTCAGAAGTGAAATTTGTGGCATTTTGCTAGCTTTAAGATGACTTGTAGAAACAGAAGCGCAAAAAATATTAATTTTGATTGACTCCAAGGCAACAATGCTGGCAATTTCTAGACCTAGCAATGGGACCTCTGTTGATACACTGCACTCTCAGGAATTCATAGAAGAGCTATTGATGAGGAAGAGAGAGGTTTCACTCCAATAGAGCTGAGAACACAATGGAGACACTTTAGTGAAAGAAGGAGCAAAAAAATTCCAAATGGAGAAAAATATAACATACTATCAAGAAAGAAGAAAATAGAGATATCTCTGCAAAAAAAAGCTCGAGGTGTGAACAAGTCCCAATTTCGATAAAAAATGGGTCATGTTACTCGAGAAAGATAAGTACATCTCAATAAATAAACTTCAAGATCTAATCAAGGTTTTATTTAATGTGTTTTTTTTAACTTCATTCTTTACAGCAATTACTGCTGCAATATTAATTATTAGGTAATTATTCCACAAAACATCATCAGATCTAGAGTTGGTGATTGGCTCTACCTATAGATATTTTTGATTGGCAATTATCGATGAACATTGGTATGATTCCATACCAAATGATCCTGTATGTTATAAGCGTTAGATGGTGTCTTGAAGCAGTTTGGCAGAAATCAGTGGTGTCTATATTCAGAATTTTATGTTTCTTTTTAAAATAACTGACACACATCTGTCTTTTCTAATTAAAGAAAATGCTCTCCTTCTTATAAAGGGCAAGGTAATGCAGAGAATAATATACAAATCTTATAAGAAATTAAAGCTAGAAAAGTGGAAGGAGATTTCAACAAATCTCCTTCCACTTTTCTAGCTTTAATTTCTTATAAGATTTCTGTGACATTTTTGTGGTAAGTTACAAAAATATTTTTTAAAAATTCAGTTAGTAGTTAATTGACATTTTCCAACTAGTTAATGAAATTAGCAAAGTTATAGTTGGATTCAAATACAATATTTAGTTTAAGAAGCATTAATTAACCAAACCCTTTATTGGCTTTCAAGTTTGATAGCCTTCTTTATTTTTTTAAAATTTAGTGTTTGTTTTGTTTTAATTTTAAAGATTTGACTTTCAGGAAAAGTTTGATGTCAGCAGTCATCGGTAGTCAATTGACTATCAACACTATCAAACTTTTGCCAACCCTAGCCAGTGTCTATTAACAATAGCATAAAGCACTTTTATTTAAAATTTATATGGTAGGTGATAAATAAACAGGACGCAGTCATTTTAAGATTTTTATGATTGCCAATGTTTCAACCCAACATGTGGGTCATCATCAGGGCATGTTACCATTACTGATGATGACCCCCATGCATTGGTTGAAATGTTGACAACAATAAAAATCTTAAAACTACTGCATCCTGTCTATTTATCACCCATGATATCTAGAATGGTCGGCTGACTTCCTTCAATAAAAATTATATCAACATTTTATTTTAGGTAAACCAAGCAAGCCTGAAGGCCCGCTAAAAGTTAGTGATGTTACCAAAAATGGATGCAAATTGAGCTGGAAACCTCCTGAGGATGATGGTGGTGCTCCAGTTGAATATTATGAAATTGAAAAACTAGATCCTCTTAGTGGCCAATGGATACCTTGTGGAAGATCAAATGGTCCTGAAGCAACTGTAACAGGGTTACAAGAGGGAAAGCCTTATAAATTCAGAGTAAAGGCTGTAAATAAGGAAGGCGAATCACCTGAACTTGAAACAGAAAAAGCAATCATTGCTAAAAATCCTTTCGGTAACTATTTTTATTTTTTAATAAAATTGAATTAAATATTGTTTTCCATGAATAAAAACACACTTTTTCTAATGCCAGATCTATCATATTTTTAAAACCTGTTGATACACAAGCAAAAATGTTGTAAATTACTCAAAAAGAGATAAATTTATTGTAAATAGGTAGAAACCCACCAAGAGACAGAAAATTCCAGAAATTCCTTGCTCAAAATATAAATGGGAATCTGAGAAGAGTTGAACATTGAAGTGTTCACAGTATAAATTTCCTTAATTTATATTGCGATTTACAACTCAAGTGAACTCCCTACTAGTCCTTTTCAATTAAAATGGGGCATTAATTAGGTTGCTATGCTTCTTCTAAAGGAATGAAGAAACCCCTAAAGGATTCTTTTCATAGGAAGTTGTATCCTTCCCAGACGGTTTAGTCACTTCCATACCCACTCAGCCATTCTTGGGGTTCCATTTATCATATGATCATGCGATCTTGTGCCACCGATAAAAGTGGAATGACATTTGTACAATAGTAACCAAAAAAAAATACATCACTACATGACACTTAATTGCAAACTCTAAGAAAGATGATGTAACACAGCTGAGGAAGGTTATAATCAAACAACTGATTAGAAAAAAAGACAGCCGAAAAACAGTAATTGCCAACCAAAATATATAAATATGCCTTATCTTCATTTGATGGGCATTTACTTTCTTATTAGTTTTTTTTTCTGATCACGTGTTTGATAATAATCTTCCTCAGATCTGTTATCTTTCTTTTCTTTCTGTATGGGATTAGATCTCATGGAGTGATGTGATCTTGGCTTTCTTTTCTTTTCTGTTCTGATCATGCCTTAGTTGGCAAAACATTGGTTGGTTGTTTTATTCTTTACCTGCATTTTAGAGACATAAGGCTATGTGGTTGTAAATGTTAATATTGTAAACATAATCTATGATATAAATTTATTGTTCATAACTGGAAGATTCAAAATTCAAAGCCTCGAATCTTTAAGTTACTGCTAAACAACTAACCAGTAAACATTTCACCCAATCAGGCATCATCTTAATAGAAAACATTCAGAAAAAATAAATACTCATTTAATTTCAGTAGTTAAAAAAATACTCATCAACAACAGACAGTACATAACTCCAAAACATCTAAACACATACTGGAGTATGTAGGAGTTAACATAACAATAGCTAAGAAATGCTATATTCAAACATCTGTTCAGCATAAAACAGAAAATTCATGCACCAAACAACCAAAAATGTACTAAAATACCTAAAAAATAAATAACAATTATTTTAAACAATCCGAGTAAAAAAAACAAAAAGTAAGTCAATATACACAGAATAGTTGTACTACAGTTAGATTTATTAGACATGTCTAAAATTTTTGACGTTTTTGAGTGAAAATGATACAAATTTCTCATATCAGTCTTGTAATTAACTGAATGTCCAAATTCTGTGTAATGTGGCTTGTTTCAAATATCTTTCTCTTTGAATCATTCCTCTTCCTGAATTGCTCAAACCTTACCAAAATGAAAGATGGGTTTTTAAATATTTTTGATTGCTATGCTAATCCAGTGTTAAGTTATTTCATATTAATATTCTTGGCATTGTACTGCTATAGGTAGATACATTGTTTTGTGCGAGGTTCGGTATATTTCCCAATTTATGTCGTAGGCCAATGCAAATAGCTAATTTCATATACCACATAAAAATATTTATTGTATTATTATTAATCATTCATTTTACTAGCTTTACATTAATCTATAATTATAAATAGTATGAATCGTTTGTAATGTCTTTTATGTGAGACTATATCTGAATTTTGCCAACTATTAAAAGTTTTATTTATGATTAAAATTCCAATTCATGGCTCACTAAGCAAATCTGAAAATAAAGAATATATAACAAACATCAGTTACTGTGTTAATAATTTATTCTCCAGGGGCATATAAAACATGCTCATCTCATTACTTATTCTGTTTGCTAGCTTAATGTCATACACATTAAAATCTTTAAACATATAGGCTGTTTGTTCATACCTTGATATAAGTTTACAAAAAGAACATACCATTCATAAACAGTTTTTCTAATCACTACTGAAGATAATGCATGATTCATACTGTTAGAGTCATGATTTCTTTATGCTTATGAATTTTATAGGTGATAAATAGTCAGGACACTGTGTCATTTTTGTTGTTACAGACGTTTCAACCCAAGAATGTAGGTCATCATCAGGGTAAGTTTCCAGTACTTGAACACCTTCAGTTCTGGAAACATGCCCTAATACATCAACATGCCCGGCTACAATAATAAAAATCTTAAAAATGACTGCGTCCTGACTATGTATCACCTATGATATGTAGAATAGTCAACTAGCTTCCTTCAATAATTCTTATGAATTTTAGTATAGTTAAAATTATAAAAACTTTTAATTAAGTATGCACAATACAAATCTCTACCAAAGATCATAAAGATGTTTTTTTCCAGACAACTTCCATGTTTATATTGGTAAAATTTAATATCTGCCTGACCCTTAAATCATTGGGAGCTTAAATTGTGCCTTAAAACTTACACTTTTTGCTTTCAGTCTTGTTTAAAAAATTTTCAAATATGACTTTTAAAAAAAAATTGCTTTTCATAAATATACTGAACCTCCAAGCAAACAACAAAACCAAGCACTTCTATAGTTTGTTTTATATCAGTTACAATGTCCAGCAACAGTTTTCATACCTGCATTTGTTGAAAATAAAACAATGAAAAAAAAATTTTAATTTCATTTAATTTTTATTTAAACATCTATGTATATACTTCAACACTATTTTAATTAATGTTATCAAAAATATATGCCTAAAAATGAATACATATGTTTTAAATTCAATTTGAAGTATAAAATAAGACTTTTAGTGCAGCAAAAGTTTTCATATACATTCATATTATATATTAATTTATGTATTTATTTTAGTCAAAACTTTTATATTAATATCTTGAATGAAGTCCTTTGTGTTTTAGTACCATTGTAAGTCATTTAAGCATTATTGGGAGTTTATTGGGAGGGTATTTTTCCATACTATACCATAGGGTATTTTGTTCATTTTGTTATTCTCAAGGGACTGTGTCCCAGAATAAAATTATTTTTCTATCTATCTACTATTCCAACAATTTAGGTTTTAGATACTTTGCTGATGTTATATTTTCATTTATGAACTTTGGATGAAACAAACCTGTAAAAGTTTGATAGCATTAAAATCTGAATTCTGGAAAGGCATTTCATGTTCATTTGGATAATTATATAGTCAATTATCAACATAATTATATGTTGATAGAACCTTGTACACTGTGCAAAATGACAAAATGCCTCTATAGTTTTGGCAATCCAGTCTGTCGCATTTTTTTTTGTATTGGTTGAACAGCAATCACCTTCCATTCTTTTGGTATTTCCTCCTTCATCCAATATCAATTCATATATTTCCTTGTGCACTGTATCTCCTCCTAATTTGAGTGCTTCTGCTGGGATCCCATAAATTTCAGGTGCTTTGTTATTTTTTAGATTCAGAATTACTTCCTCTACTTCTTCAGGGGTCTGAAGTTTCCAGCTATATTTCTTTCTACGCCATTTCTAGTTCCCAAGCCATTTCTTTTTTTCTCTTATTTTTAACCAATGCATGTATGAAAACTTTTGCTGGCCACTGTATGTCTAGTGTTATCACACTGGTATAATTTTGTTGAATTTATCTAAAACAATTATTCCCCAACTGCATGACATTATATTTATTTCACTTAAATTTATTTCTAATTCTTTTAAGAAAAAAAATCCTCTTCTTTGCTTTAGTACATGTCGATATCTGCTAAAGAGTTTTATTTTTCTAAAGGAATACTTTAATAGCACAGACTATCATCTTCATAAAAATACCTTTTCCTTAATTTACAGTCTAATCTAACATCTTCGTTGAGAAATTCTTTGATCAGTACAAATGCTGAAATAATATTTTTAATGGCACCTTTAGTGGTTCATATTGCATGTTCATTTAAATCCTGGTATTCTATTTGTAAAACCTGCCATGGCAACTCATCCTCCAATAAACCAGCCCAATTCTATTCATATTTTCCCTTTTTAATGTTTCAGACAAATAATTTAAATTACGTACTACTTTTACCTATTTAGGCATGAAATATATAGTAAGGTAAAGTATTGCAATTGTTACAAATTTCGATTCTGAATTTTTTAAAAAATCATGTTTTAGGGTCCCTTGAATACAAATAAGCAATTCTTGCAAAATTGCCTTGGAAATTAAGCAATCTTGAAATTGATTTACCAGAAGTACCACTTTATACTAATGGCTACACTTTTTTACTGTTTTTCTCAAAAATGGCTTTAAAGATTCTGATTAAACTTTTTTATCAATATAAAGTTTAATGTTCTTTAATATCACCTAGGTCTTATCTTCATTGAAATTGTCTGACAGGCCTTAATTGCCTATCTGTAAAGTATCTTTGATTTTTTTTATTTGAAATAATTAACCATCTCACATTGTTAGTAGTAATAACAAAAGGACAAATTTAAACTATGAAAGGATCTGGTAACTAACTAAAGGGGAAAAAAGTAAAAACATGTTTGCATGTTAAAAAAAAAATTCTGGAACTAAGAGAAGTAATATAGATGAAAAACATGCCATTGGATAGCTAAGGATTTTACAAAAACTAAAATTAAACATATATAGTTGTAGAAAATTTCTATTTCAATATCTTTGTATCTCCGATGACACTATGGTCCGTGTACAACCCTGGTCTCCTCAACAATCCTTCTCTTACCAAGGTTAGTCTTCCTCTCTTTCAGTTTTTACCTAGATTCCTAGCCATGACTATCTTGGGGATTCTATTCTCTACTCAACTATACTCTCCTTTATCATGACAGAGGTGACAGAAGGGTTTTTCCCAATACCTGGAAAACCGCTCTTGTTCGTCTACTGAATAAAACCTCCAATCCCACAACCCCTAATGATTTCCCTATTATATAACCTTTCCAAGCCTCTAGAATGATTAGTTCAATCCCAATCATCCCACTATCTCGAGCAAAATAACCTTCTGAACTGCCACCAATCTGGTTTTAGACCCGACTACTCTACCCATTCCGCCCTCATTAAATCTCCTAAGATCTCCATAGAGCTATAAACTAAGTGAATCTCATGATCCTTATTATCCTCGATTTTACCACATCCTTTGACTCTGTAGATCACTATATCCTCCTTACTGTTGTGACTTGAGTGTATTGGAAATTCTGAAAATATATGTTATTCTTAGAAGTGGAAATAAGTTGGAATTTAATGCACTTTTATTTTTAACACAAACATATCAACACATTGAATATTAATATTAAAAACATACGATGTACATTCATTTTAATACATGTAAACATATGGTTATTTTTTAGGCTACACTTACCAAACTTAATAATATCTCCTTGTCTTCTGGTGGCCTTAATTGGTTCCCCTATCCTTCCTCACAGGTCGCTTATTGTATGTTGTAGTCCCTAATAATCCGCCATAAGAGTCTCTATCCTTGTCCAGAGGTGTTCGCCAGGATTCCTCCTTATCTCCCACTCTTTTTTCCATCTATATCAATGACCTTACGTCCTCTATCCTGCACTGTCAATACCACCTGTAGGCCGATAAAGTCCAACTTTACCTTTCCTCTGTCCAACTTTCAATCCGGCTGATTCCACTGCAACAGTCCTAAAATTTTAGAAAGATATAGACAGAATCTGTGCTTGGGCAAACCGCAATTGGCTCACCCTAAATGCCGAGAAGGCAGCAAATATCCTTATCGCATCCCTCCCACACTCATCAAATCCAATCCTGTACCTCACAATCTTCTCCTAAACAACGTGCCTATCTCCTTCCATGCTTCCATTAAAAATCTTAATGTTTTTTTATTAAACCCTCTTCTGGAAACCACACATCTCCCAAATTTACTGTCATACTATTTCTACTCTGAAACAGTCTAACTGTCAACGCTATCACCTTCCATACAAAACCCGTCAACTCCTGGTTTCCTCTAATGTTTTTCCCCACTTCTACTATGGTTATATAGTGTACGATGGACTTTCGGGAGAACTCAAAGCCATTAAACCCCTAATGAATTGCTCAATACGTTTTGTCTTCGGGATCTCAAAGATATGCATATTATCCAGTATTATACTGAGTTGAACCTTTCTATATCAGGCCATTAGAAGTTAGTGACCCCCCTATATTTTTAAGAGCCTACAATTCAAATCGTTCATTTCACCAGATCCCGCTCTTCCGACCTCTATCCTCATCTTCACCGAACTGCTGAATTTGACAAATTCTTTGTTATTCAAGCCGTCTCTTTTTGGAATACTATCCCTCCCGATATCCAACTTACATTCCCCTAGAAACTATTTTGTTTATTTATGATATTTTATTTTTTATGTTTATTCTATATATATTTGTATACTTTTGTTTTTTTCTTCCGATATTTTAATTTTAATAAGATATTAGTTTGTAAATATTTAATTTAATGTATGGCCACACAGCATTTTTAATTTGTAATAAAGGGTCAATCTAGAGATAGGGAACAGTCCCAGGATAATAGATAATATTTTCATTTCATTTCACAAGAACTTACCATCTTAACGTATCTTTCTTAATGGTGGATACAACATTAAGTGATTCATATATGTACTTTAACTCCTGATTTGTTCTCATCTTTCCCTGATCTCCTGCTTGTGCCAGGCCAAATATGCTGTGCAGAATCTTTCTCTCATCTTATAGGCAGTCACAACTTTTTTTTAGGTTAGGGTTCATGTTTCACTTCTGTACAAAATTATATTTCTAATTTTTTTAAATCTAAGTTTTTCATGCAGACAGTACTTTAATCTTGTTAGGTTCTTGTTCTGTCGGATATTTTTCAGTGATCAATAGCACCTTTTACCTACCACTATTCTTGCTTTGGCACTATTTCCTCTTCTGTTTCATTAGTTTCAGAGACAGTAGCTCCCAGATATTTAAACATTGCTACTCTGTCAAAATGGTAACCTACCTTTTCCAGATAATTCATTACTGTCTCTATATTATTGAATAGAAAATAAATGTTTAGCTAAATGGAATTCCTAAAGAAACTAAACGGAAACTTAAATTTGTTTTCAGTTTGTATAAACCAAAAATAAGTAGTGCACAGTAATTATTGTATTTATACAATTATTCATTGTTTTGTGATGGAGAAAGAAAAAAGAAGATTTTTTTTGTTTTTTTCCATTTATAAGATTATATGTATTTGACATGTATTTAATTTTGACATTCTTCACTATATATATATATATATTTTCTCCCTTTCAATCTGCATTTTTTTTTTATAGTTTACAATACTATGTAATTGTTTATATTACCTTTGTGAGTATTCATTTAAAGCTCTTAAGTAACCGATATAAATAATTTATTTTCTTTACTTACTTTCCTTTTTCTTTTGTTACTTCAATGGATTTCTCATAAAAATAATTAAATGTTCCTTCCCTATTTAATTTATTTAATTATTTTTATTTTATTTTTTTTAAGCAGCGATATTGCAATATTGTGATCCTATGGCTCACCTACTTTCACTAATATATCTTTAAGCTATATACCTGTTTTATTACTTATCTTTCAGTTATTTTTTTTATTTGTTAGATCTTTTGACCAGATTTAATGCTAATTTGTATGAATAATATTGTTATTCTTAAGGGACACTGTCCCAGAATAAAGTTGATATTTCTATTTCTATTTTATTAAATTAATTTCTACTTAAAGTAGGTTGGTACGTTAAATTTCGTGGCACACAATATAACTAGAAAATTACTTTATAAGTTAGTTTAACTGAATTCATTATTCTGAAAGAATAATTAAATTACACATTGAATTAACTGATAATATTTAACAATAATGATTAAAAATAACTATATTTTTAGCACTACGTAACAGATGACCATATGTTAACCAAATAAGGAAAATATAAATTATGAACACAAATAATTTACATGTTTACTGATCGTTCAGTATAACTTTTGCTTTACTGATTATTTTTAAAACTTATGCTTAGAACAAAATTAAGAAATTTTATTATGTAAAATAATATATATATATATATATATCTAGATTTTCAAATACTTAATGTAAATAAGTACAGAGGAAGTTTATTTTACTTCATATGATCTACATTATTTTTAATTAAAAATGTGAAATATATTTTTTTAAATTCAGGTCATTCAAGTTAATAAGTAATTAACCATTTAATATGATGAGAAGTTTTAACTTACAATTCATAAATTTTGGACTTAAACTCTGGTATCCAAAAAATTATTTAGTTTAGAAATAGTACTTCATAACTTCCTTTTAAAAAAATTCAATTTTATTTATTTCTCTTAAACTTTATGTGCTTGTGATACATTACTAATGAATAATTCTTATATATATTTTTTTAAATTATATTTCAGACGTTCCTGGAAAACCAGGACGGCCTATGTTAAGGAATTGGGACAAAGATTTTGTTGATTTGGAATGGACACAACCAGATGATGATGGTGGTGCTCCTATTTCAAAATATATAATACAAATGAGAGACAAAGATGAAAGGAATTGGGTTGATGCATTGACAGTGCCTGGAGAAAGGTTTGTTCTTCAATAAAATATCATTTAGTATAGGAAATATATTTGTAAATAACATTAATTGTAAGTATATTATTTTTATCTATGTTCGATTATTTGTTAAATTTACAGATTTGTTGGTTTAGCCACTGCTACGTTATTAGAAAAAAATCGATCTTCATATATATGGTGTCTTCAAGGATAGATAAGCCCTTATAATTTTACTTAATGATCTTCATAATTGTTTATAAAACTTATTTAAACTACTACGATCAGTTTTATTTCAAAGAATTAATGTTTAGGTTGTTCAATATTATCGTTTAAAAATGCTTAATGATATTTTATTCATCGTCATCACTGGCACTAAAACCCAGAATGGGTCTTTGCCATATCAATATATCACAAAGTGGTACGAGTCAGACAAAACTGAAGACATTGACCAAAAATCGAAATTTTTATAATGAATTAAAAATATGTAAGAACATCTTCTTTAGACTTTGAAGTATATCCTGGCCGGCTTTCTTGTGATTCCAAAGGGTTTTAGTGGTAAGAGTTCAATAAATATATTTAAAGGTTGGGAGGTTCAATTTATATTTCGCAAAATTAGATATTTATAAAATCATTTGCTACTCAATGATAATGCTATTCATCTTATCTTTTAAATAATTTATAATAAGTACATTGTATTCAGAAGGTTTTAAAACAAAAATGAAAAAAAAATCCAGATTAGGTAATTTATTTTTGGATTTAAATTTTTAATATTGATAAATTTTCTGAAGTTTGAGAGTTACAAAATGGAATTTTATTGAAAAAAGGGCTTCAAAAATTTTGTTTCACCCTAACCAACTTTAGAGGTTATTATTATTTGAACATAATTATTCATATGTTTGTACAAAATATAATATTCATTTTTGCCTTTTTTTGTATTAATATATTGTGTTTATATAAAAATGTATAACTATTATTAAAAAAACCACTTGCATTTTTGTTTATTATAATGATATATCATCATATAAAAACATAATTTTTTACTAAACCGATATATGGTCTAATAAAAACATATTTTATTACACCGATATATCGTTCAGTAAAAACATTATTTTTTACTAAACTGAAATATCGCTTAATTTAACACAACAGTTTAGTTAAATAATACTGTTAAAAAAACAATGACACATGAAAATATTAATGCACTTGAATTTAAAGAAATCGTACTAGATCGTTAGGTCTTTAAGATCTTTTTCTTATTCTATAAATACACTTTCAGTTTTTCTTTAATATATGATATTTGCTAAATTTTGACTAAATATACCTATGTAAGGTTTATATAACATTGTACTCGATAGATAAGTAGAGTATTTTTATTTACATCTATTTTTAAAAAGATACTGAGGTCACAGGTATATTTTCATTTCAAGTTTATCGTTGTTTTTTATTTATTTAGATTGCGTTGATTTAAAATTGGTTTAGGTTAGAACATGAACTGGAAAACAAATTTTAAAAATGTACCTTATTCCTATTAGCAAACAGCTTTTACCATTTGATTCAGTGTGTCAAATTACATAGAAAATGATCCCCATTAAAATTATTACAAGGAAATATCCGGGTGAAAAGCCAATGCATAGAGAATTAAGCATTTTGTTCCAGTGTGCATCATCTCTGTTTATCTTTTTCCTGTACAAGGGTCTGCCAAGCTCTAGTGATCAAAAGTTTCTCTGCATTGGCTTCATCTCATTTGCCTTCATCTCAGTCGTAGCTGTCCTCTGTTTCTTCTTTCATCTAAATATGCGGACAGTATTAGCTTAATTGGTGAGTCCATCCTTGTGACATGCCCTAAGATGGGCATCTTAGCCTGGAGAGACTTATAAATTTCACCACAGTTCCTAGTAAATACGATGCAACTTTACATTATGCCGTAGCCCAAGGAGCCCCAACCCAGAGCTTTTGGGCACCGTGGTGCCTGTGTGACATCACTTGTGCCTATGAGCAAACTTGTACTCGCCTATGTCTAATATAACCTTTATTGGAAGTCACATTGGCAACAGATGAACAAGTTTCAAATGTTTGGCAATTTGTTTTTTAAATATAGGCAGATAGATAGAATTTATTTATTGTATAAAGCATGCATGTTACATAAATCATATTAGGGATGGCCCTTTAAATATAACATTAAATAATATTTATAATATTGTATAACAAGTAATTTCATTCTTAATTTTTTCAAATAGTATTGGCAAATAAAGTATAACATTTATGATATAAGATTTCGTAACAATAAATATATTTACAATTTTTTAATATTTATGGAAAAATAAATATACCTATACTTTGTACATCAAAATATAATCACAAGGAAAATGCACATACATAAATAAACTTTGCATATTATCTAATAAATATAATACTTATAATAAATGATAAATACAATAAATAGTATCTATAAATACAATATAATAATTTAGTTTTTATCACGAATAAGGCCCCATCAAGAAGTTTTGAGCCCGCTAACCTTTAGAGAATTAGAGTTCTTCAAGATTGATGCGAGGAACAGAAATACATGGTTCATTTTATTTATTCTGTTACAGTTTAAAATGTCTTCTAGTGAAGAGAAATCATCATTTTCCGATATATAATTCTTTAAAAATTGTTCTCTGTAGGTCTTACAAGAGGACTAGTGCAGAGAAAGATGGCTTAGTGTATCATTGATGGGTTTCCGACATAGTTCACATGTCTTTAAAATCAGGCGTTTATTTTATAAAGTAAATTTTAGATATGCAGTGCTTGCAACCTGTTGTTGGCTTATTGCTCTGTGTTTGTGGATATTTAAACTGTGTAACAAATATTCTTCTGGTTGCGAGTAAGTGAAATTATAGGTGTTTCTAAAGATGAGGTTGTGGGTGGAAGCCATTGCCCAGCTTATATCATTTAAGTAATAATAAGTAATTTTCGAGTTTTTCAATTATTACCCTTTTATTCGCAATTAGTTTATTTTCGTTAAACTGATCTGTGAAAAAATCCAATGCATTATTCATGGATGCTATTCTCTTGAGTTGTGAGATCCAATTTGATTTGAAATCTTGTTTTCTGACATCTGAGGTTGATAATCTGTTAAAGCATTGCCGTGCTAGTCTATGCTCAGTTAATGAGAGTATTTTTATGAAAAAATCGAGAAGTTTCTTAAAGACTAATGCAAAAAGTGGGAGGCGACCTGTTTCTAGGCTTATTATTTAATTGGGTGTAGTTTTAGGCCAAAAATATAATGATTTCAGAAATTTGGTTTCCATGGTTTCTACAACTTCCAGGTGATTTAAGCTCTAGATCTCAGCCGCATAAAGAAGTGTTGAAGAGACAATGGCCTCAAAGAGGGTTATTTCACTCTTGCACATGCTACCGTTGACCGTTGAACAAAGTGTTCTGCCCTTTTTGAAAACTTTGCTGATGATAGAAAAGGAATTCCAATATAGATATCTGATTTGGTATATTCTAACTTCACATTATTTCAATATAGTGGTTTCAATTTTTTATTTCTTTGTGACTTGTGGAATGCTAAGATTTTTGATTTTTCCGGATTCAGAGTTTAAGAGTTTTGGGTACAGTATAATTCTAATATATTGAGTTTTTTATATGCACTGTGCCAAGATACACTGAGTAGGACTATATCATCAGTAAGTAAAAGCATCGAGACTTCCATTAAAATTTTACTTTATTCCAATTTAAATAAAAAGAAGAGGGCTAAAGCTTTCTCCCTATAAAAGTCCCAAGGTGACCTCTATGTCAGAATAGTTGCCAATGATATTGATTTGTTTTTTAAATTTATGTATATTGAAAAATATAACAAGAATTTATAGATATAAAATTTATAAGTATAAATGAATTATTTGAAAATAATAATTAATTTATGTAAATAATATTATCACTATTGTTTTGATTAATATCTTTCTTTGTTAGTTAAAAAACATTAATGGCACTGTTGTTAACACTGTATTAAACTTATTTCATAACTAGTTATAATCCACATCGCTTCTAATTAATTTTCAATTCTGTTTTCAAACTGTGTTAATCTAATATAAGAAAACTATATAAAATTAATAACATTCATTATAGTTGGTGTTTACTCGTTTTAGGTAGGAATATGTATCATTAATGTTGGAAATAATACATAAGTCTGCTACTATACGTATATATACCGGTGTGCCCATCCCCTTCAAGGTCAATAGCGCAAGAACCTACCTCCTCCCAAGATATTTTATTGTTATAGTTTTCCTAAAAAACAGTGCAAGTGAAAGTATAATTTAAAAAATCGTAGATCATATACAATTACACTTGCAGATCTGTTCCGTGGTTTCCTCTTGTCTCATGGTTTGAAACTTCATTCCAAAAATTCATAATCTTGTCAACATGTATCCTCCTCAAAAATGCAAAACTCTGTCAAAATGTGCTCCCCACAAAAACTTGATGGCGCCATGAAACACCCTTCTGGGCACCCCTCTACATATATTTAGTTTTATTGGGGCATTTACACTCTTGTAGAAGGCTTTTACATCCGCTTTACTTCTTTGATTGATTTCTTCAAATTCTTTTATTTTTTCCTCTCCTTGTTTTCTTCTATGGATTTTTTTATTTATTATTATTATTTTTTTTTATATACATTACAACATGTCATACAGATAAGTTACAAGTTTATGGTTGTAGTAGCCTTACACTTGACATAACAGTGGTTTGAATACTACTTAGAAAATTGAAATTAATTTTTTTTTACAGTAGGAAAAATCTCATAAAAACCTACATAAGATATAAATGAAAAAATTAAGTTACAATCATTAAAAGTGCTAGAAAACTAAATATAATTTATGTGCAAAAGGAAAATATATATATATATATGGATACATTTCTCTTCTTGTCTTCTATCTTTATATTTCTTAACTACTTGGAGAATTCTGTACTTCTCTATCATTCTCTTATAAGCCTCGTTTTTCCTGTCTGTTATTGCCTGGCACTCCGAGTCAAACCAATCTGACCTTTGTTGGGTTTCCTCCATACAAAGAATCTCTTTTGTTCATAGTATCTTCAGAAGGGCCATCTTTTAAAACTTTTTCTAGTCTGGTTGAATTCTTTCCTATACCCTGGTTCTTGTAGTTTCTGGGTATTGATGTTTTCCATTCGAGCTCCTTTCATTTTATTAGCATTATTATTCTAGTTCGAATGTGTGATGCAACCAGATAGTGATCACTATCAACATTCGCTCCTCTGAATGTTCTCACTGTCATGAGACTTGACCTTTGTCTCCAAATAACCAGAATGTGATAAATTGGGGTGTTATCTGGAGTAACCCACTTAGCTTTATGAATGTTTTTATAGTCAAACATAGTGCTACCAGCAACCATGTCTTGAGATGCAGTGAAATTCACTAGTCTTGTTCCATTTTCATTAGATTCTGGATGTAGACCATGTCTTCCTACTATTGGCAAAAGAAAGGATTCTCTTCGGACCTAACCGTTAAGGTCACCCTGAATTATTTTCACATCATGACATGGGCATTCTGCAAGCACCCTTTTCAAGTCATGATGGAAATCATCTTTAGTCTGTTCATATGCCCCTTCATTCTGTGCATGAACCTAAACCAAAGAATAATTTCTGAATCCGCCCCTAATTCTCAGTATGCATAAGCGATCAAAGACATGTTGATGCTGGAGGCAACTATAATAGATTTTATGACCTTCTCTGCGGTTACAGAAACTACCCATCTTATTTCCTATAGGTCAGTGATATATTTGGAAAGTTCATCCAGGAGCAATTTTATTGCTGCAGCTCTACATAAGTTACGAACATTCTGTGTAACCAACTTGAATTCCTTAAGAATGTCGGGTCAATACCGTTGAGACTGTCCAAATCCAAGGGAATTTTCTTGAATTTTCACAGCCACAACAAGTTTTATTAACAAGTTATTAACACTATAAATATACCATATTATGTACATAACTTTTCTTTTTTGAACTAAGAAATGAATATTTTTATTTAGAACTGCTGGCAAAGTCACAAGTGTAGTTGAAGGACATGAGTATGAATTCCGTGTGGTAGCTGTAAATAAAGCAGGTCCAGGACCACACAGTGATACATCAGATTCAGTAATAGCAAAACCTCGTTTCTGTAAGTATGATTAAAATGAATTGAATTTCTTAATGACTATATTCCATATTTTTGTTTAGTAGGATAGTGAAAATATCTGTAATAATTTTCTGTTCATAAATTTTATGTACATTCCTTTGAATTATTTAATGGAAAAATTAAATCTTTATAATTAGCAATATCTTAAAAGCACTTCTCTTAATGTTTAAAGGCATGCTTTCTTTTAGTTTTGGTACTATTATTGGTAAGTTTAAGTAAATGAATATAATGTGCCTGTATTAGATAGTGGAAGTTATATATGCTGTCTGTATTAGTGTGATGTTGAATGTCTAATAAAAAATAGTTAATAATGATTGAAACTACACCATTTAGTTATTGGTAGTTCTCTCAAATTGATTAAGAATTCTTCATCAGCCTTGGCTGCCATCTCTGTTAGTGAATGAACACCCAGAGCTAGGTATAGTTCTTAAATATTTTTCTTAATATGTAGTATACAAATTTTGGACTAACTATTGGAAAACTTTTCACCAACTGTTTTAAATCCCTACCAGCAATGGATACTGTTCTAAAAAGAATTTTTCATGACATTAGATTATTACTTAGAAGTAAATGTTATAGGCAAAATATTACTCAACCATTAGTAATAATAAAAACACACCATTTGGTCACAAAAGTCCATTCTGTACCCTATGAATTCTTCAAAAATTCTCCAGAATGAGTTTTGTTACAATTTGTTAAGATATTTAATGATTATTTTAATACTGAAAATATCCCACAGAGCTTTACCGAATCGGTCATTTACATGTTACTTAAAAAGGGAGATGTCCATAAAGAAGAACATTATAGAAGAATTTTCTTCATTCATATTGCTACTAAACTATTCACTGGTGTTTTATTGGGCCGTTTGTGGAACTGAGTGAACACAAACAAAATTTTAAATGACTTTCAAGCGGGATTTTGACCTCGAGTATTCATACTGGACCACATTTATACTTTGTTCAGCATTTTTAAACTGACTCTGGAAAAACAATGTCATAAAGTCTACGCATTCCTTATAGACTTTAAAGCAACCTTTGATTGCATTGGTAGGGAGGCATTATTTTTTAAGTTGGTTAATTTTGGATTACCACATCAATTTTTAAATATCTTAAAAAGTATGTATTTAATGACTAAAGCGACTGTATATCACAAGGGAAGACTTAGTAATTGTTTTGAAACCTCAGTCGGACCAAGACAGGGCTGTCTGCTAAGTCCTTTGCTGTTTGCACTTTTTCTAAACAATTTGCATGATCCCAAATCTGGATGAAGGATTAGAAATCGCAAGTATCAGCATTAGGTGTTTGCTGTAAGCTGATGATGTAGTAATGCTAGCCCCATCCCCAATTAAATTTCAATGGATGATAAGCAACATGGAGAGTTATAGCCGATTCTGCAGATAAACCTGGCAAAATCAAAAATAATAGTTTTTCCGCAATGGAGGCAGGTTACCCAAATTTGGCAGAAACTCATGAGGTGGCCAACAAATATAAATATCACTGAGTATTAATTACCTCTTGATTGGTCTTGGGGCATCCTTTTGCGTAAAGAGTAATTCATGCAAAGTTTGGATTGAACTCTCTCTGCTTAACATAATTTTATGGTTTACAAAAATGTTCCCTATACAATTAAATTAGAAGTACATAAGACAGTCTCATGGGTGGTGGTTACCGAGATGATGCTACCCTTAAATCCAAAACAAACGATTATGGTCCTGACCAAATATCTGTTAAAGTTATCAAACTCTGCCTTCCAGGCTTACTTCCCGCACTTCCACACATATATAATTTCTCTCTAAAAAATTTCATTTTTCCCAAATCCTGAAAAAGAGCCATAGTCAACCCACTGAACAAAGTTCCTACTCCTCCATCAGCTTCCGACTTCAGACCCATCTCCATTTTATCCAATCTATCCAAGCCTCTAGAAAGATTAGTCCACTCTCAGTTAAACAAGTTTCTCGAGTAAAATCATCTCCTCAATTCTTTACAGTCTGGTTTCCGTTCTCATTATTCCACCCAGTCTGCCTTGCTAAGGATTACCAAAGACCTCCAATCTGCCATAGGTAAACAGAAAATCTCCATCCTAATGCTTTTTGACTTTTCCAAAGTGTTTGATTCCATCAATCATGACATCCTTCTTTCCAAACTCCAAAGCCTGCCCATATCAAATAGTGTCCTAAAATGGTTCCTCTCCTTCTTATCCAATTGATCTCAGACAGTTGTGATTCCGAATAAACCTCTATCATCACCCCTTTAACTAATACGAGGTGTTCCTCAGGGTTCCTCACTCTACCCGACCGTTTTCTATATTTATATTAGTGACCTTCCTGACCCCATTCAACACTCCTGTTACATACACCTATATATGTACCTATATGTCGATGATTTCCAAATTTACCAATCGTTCCAACCGTCTGAAATGCCTGAGGCTACTTGGAAACTACAAGAGGATATCGACTGCATCAACTGAAGGGCATAAATAAATGAATTAGAGGTGAATACAGATAAAACTAAGGCTATTCTCATTGGGTGCAGACATCTCATTAGCTCCCTTTCTTACTTTCCTCTACATTACCTCAATAACCATCCCATCCATTTTTTTCCTACAGTCAAAAACCTAGGAGTAAGCTTTGACCAGAACCTCTCCTGGAATAACCATTCTCCCAGATTACCCGAAAATCCATAACTGCCCTTAAACAACTCCTAAGATTCTGTGATTGTATTCCTCTAAACACCAGACAGCTCCATGTAATCTCCCTTATATTTCCGCACTTCGACTATAACTGTTTGGTGGGTGGAGGCTTATCTGCCAGGCTAGAAATGAGACTGAAGAAACTCATGAATTGTTTCATAAGATACATCTTCAGGATTCCCAGACGTTCACTTGTTTCATAATGCATGGAAATTACAGTTATATAATTTGAACAATGAGTAGTACAATTAAATAAACAGTTGTATAATTAGTAATATGGGGATTAGTCGACTGATAGGTAGCAGGGATATTCCCCTTGTATAAATATTTTTTTTTCTAAGAATTCTCACTATATTGGTCAATGCATTTGCAGACAACCACTGTATATATAATTAATTAATTTAACTGGCCCCTTAATTTCAACTTCATAATAACAAAAAATATAAAAAAATATTGGCTATATTTCACTGAAATGTTTATTCAAATATTCATATATATTTTTGATTCAAATATTGTGACATTCAAATATATATATATAATTTTCTGTTTTTTTTTTTTTTTTTTTTTTTTTTTGGCAAAATGCAGCATGACAATGAAGGCCTATTGTACGCTATTTTCTATGTTAATATGATATATTTATTGCTTCATCTTTGTATAATGAACATAATCTGTTTCAGTGCAACCCTACATTGACCGCAAAAATTTACAAAAGAAAGTAATAACATCTGGACAAACATTAAAATTTTTTGCTGACATTAAAGGTGAACCTCCACCAAAAGTTACTTGGACATTGCAAGGAGATACCCTTAACAATGACAGGTATTTTACTTTGTGCAAAATTATATTGATGTAATAGAAATTTTTGGGTTACCATCTAATTGTAGGCAAGCTATACAAACCCTTTATACATCATTTTTTAAAGCTAAAAATGAATTATAAATTAAACTTCAATTGATAAATGTAAATAATTATAATTTTAGTCTATTGAAATGTTTCATTAATTTAAATCTTCTTCTTATAAAAATTGTTAACTATTGTTCATCATATCTATTCAGCAGAAGTTTTCCACTTAATATTCAGCTTATGTATTTCATTGTTACATCTATATATATATTATATATTATATACATATTTTTTTATATTTGTTGGCCTTAAGCACGTCGACCCCTATTGGGTCCATTGTGCGCTATATACATATTTACATTTATATATATATCTGAAGCCTTTGAAGTTGAAATGGGTTTGAGGCAGGGAGATAAACTGATGCTGTTTAACTTAACTCTAGAGAAAGTAATAAGAACAAAATCACGCGAAGATGGAGGGGAGCACGTTGGAATGAAACATAAAATCCTAGCATTCGTGGATGATATAGGTGTCTTTGGAAGCAATCAAGAGGATATTGAGAGACTTGTTAAGAGAAACAGAGTAAATCGGACTTCAAGTAAATGTTAATAAAACAAAATACATGATAGCCGAAAAATCCCATGAGTTACCGACCTCTTTAATATTATACTTGATCCCTACCCATAGCTTGTCTATATTATCAAGGTCCTCGTTAGAAGATTCTAAAGCTTCAAACCTATTCCTAAATTCTAGCTTGAATTGATTTCTAATTGATGGATCTTTTAATTTTTCCAGTTCAAATTTTTTGTTCAAATCACTGAAACTGTTTCTATTTTATTTTTTTTTAAGTTTTTCTATTAAGTTAATTTTTGTTTCAATTTCACATATAGATAGAAATAGTTATAATAACATGACTTCCTACTTTTATCTAACAGTTTTCCATAATCAAACATTTTAGTTTTCCATTGCTATGTATATTATCACTATATCTCTTACATCAACAAATGTTTAGAAGTAAGACGTGTTATTAGAAGTTAGAAGAAAAGTAAGACGTGTTATTAAAATTATTCCTTTAAGCATATACAATTTTTATCTAAGGGGAAGATAGGAACTATCAATAGATCGATAGTACTATCGGCTATCCCCCATCCCTAGAAAAATGTATGGTACAACTTCCCATAAGAATAATTCACAGTCACTGTAAATAAAGTGCAGGGACAAACTTTCAAGTGTATTGGAGTCAACTTAAGAGAAGACTGTTTTTTTTCTATGGACAACTTTATATATGTTACATTATCTAAATCATGTTCTGGAGAAAAACAGTCAATATTCTTATAACGAAAAGAAACAACTAAAACTGTTGTTGTAATGGCTTAAAAATACTATGTCTGTAAAAAAGTTTGTTGGCATAAATCCATTAAACTGATGATGCTTCATTTCAAGTCAGCTTTTATTTTAGTGATTAATGTTTTTTAGCATACATTTTTAAATGTTATTCAGTTAGTCAAATGCAATTGGTCATGTACTCACCGTGAGTATGAAACTTACATTTAATTCAAATTTAATGCGGGTGAAACCGCAAGAAATATTTTGTTTGTTTGGTGACATTCACACCTCAAGCAACATGAAACTGGAAGGACAAGTCTATCTAGAGGTCTGGGAGCAGTTTCAAAGAATGCATCATAAGGAAGTATGTAAGAAGACATCTAGGCATGTGGAGGTTCTTGGGAATTCATTTAATTGCTCACTGGGCTAAAGAAGAGGTGTTATTTGAAACTGAAGCAATTAGAAATGAGACAAGCATTCAACAAAATCATTTTGTAGGTCTTAAAAAAACAAAAAAAAAAAACAGTATTATTAATGAAGTGAACAGAAAAAGGAACAAACATATACATTTTTGTTTTGAATCAGAACTTGATAGTAAGTAATGTTAGAGATATAATCAAAGAAGCGTTGATCAGTTTTTATAGTTTGTTTATGAAACACACAAGAGCACAAAAGGTGAATGAAATCAATCACAATGCCAACTTTGCTTGTACATGAAAAGCAGTGTAACCATCTAATGCCTACCATATAAAACATTTCAATTTAAGGTATTACATCAACAGTAAAGGTGCATTTAGACATTTCACAAACTATGGGACAAAAAAATATATAAATGGTTATTTCATTATGCTAGTATTTTTGTTTATTGTTTTTGATATTTTCTATCTGTAATCGGTATCAGGAGAAATAAAATAAACAGTTTGGTTTAGCAATAATGTTGCTGTTTGTTAATTTAGATAATTGTGTTTCCCATAGTTTGTGAAATGTCTAAATACACCTTAAGAAGTTTGTTACTTTACTCTCTAAATAATGTACATACAAGTGTGTGTGTGCATGCATTTAATGTTTTATTTCTTTAAAGATGTTCATAATTTTTTTATCTTTTTTAGAATATCAATTGAAAATGAAGATTATAAGACTACATTTACACTCATAAAAGCTAAAAGAAAAGATCGTGGGACATATACAGTTACCGCTATAAATGACTCTGGAAAAGATACTGTTGATGTTGAAATAAATGTACTGAGTAAGTCATTAGATATTGATTAGTTTCTTGTTTTAATTTTAATCTAATAATGTTTTAATGTTAATCTTGTTTATCTGAAAAAAAAATTTAAAGGTCCTCCTAGTAAACCAAAGGGGCCTCTGGTGGTCGATGACATAACTGCTGAAGGTTGCCATCTTTCTTGGCAAAAACCTGAAGATGATGGAGGTGAACCTGTTGATCACTACCTCATTGAAAGAATGGATCTGGAAACTGGGCGTTGGGTTCCTGTTGCAACTGCTAAAGGAACTGAAGCAGATGTGAGAAATATTTTCTTATTTATAGTAATATTTTATTATTAATATAGGATATTTATAATAAAATATCTGATGACTTTTATTATAAATAATAATAATTATTATTAATAATATAATAACAATAACTTATATGATATAATAATTATATATTATGAATAATTTTTATATAATGAAGTTGTGATAATTATCTTAATGCATAAAAATTATTTGCCTCTGTTAATTTACTTTCTTTTTTCTCATGTAGGTTCAAAATTTGATGATACATCTCATTCAAACAATTTGCTTAAAACTGCTGTTTTGTAAAAAAAAAAAAAATAATAAAAAATAATAAATATTAGAATTTGAATACTGAAACATAAGTTTCTATATTCCGCCCTGTATTTTATTTCTCTTATGAAATATCATGAAATTAACAATTGATTGATTTTATATTTTATCTAGTATATAAAAAACTTTAGTAAGTAAGCAGCAAAAATGCATTCTTAGGCTTTTTCTGATGTAATAATATATGCAATTTTTAATAATAATAGTAATATTATAGGGAGCAGGGTAGCTCAGTGGGTGTGAACTGACTTTCAGAGCTCAAGGTCCCAGGTTCGAATCCGGCTGATGACTAGTAATTTTTCATCTGCCGTTGAACGACCCTGGGGTCGGGAGACCCTCCTGGGGCACACCCAGCCTCTATAAAGTGGGTACATTTAATTAAATAATTAATTAAGAAGAAAAACCTGGTGGTTGAGCGTGATATCGGCCCAATCACCTCCCTGCATAACCGTTGGCCTTGTAACAATACTTCCTCACATTGTACTGAACCCAACACCCTTCAAAGGTTGTTAGTGGTACAAGTTTTATTTGATTTTTTTATAGTATGTACACAAACACACACACATATACATATATATATATATATATATATATATATATATATATATATATATATATTTATTTATTTATTTATTTATATCTTATATATTTGCTCTCAAAAATTGAATACTGGGGAACTTGAAATCTTTAGAATAAGGACACTTCCAAATTTTTATCCGCTGAGCTAAATTACCCTGCTTGCCTTGACCAAAAGTCATTCCCCATCGCAATTATTCCATAAAAAAGGCTAATTATGTACTTCGATACTATTTTCCCTCATATTTCCTTTAGATTAAACTTCTTCATACTGCATGATGGATTTTGTCCCATCATTAGCTTAAGTGGTAACAATATGGACCGTTTTTAACTATTAAATAGTTTATTTTTGTATGTGAAAACTCAACAGTTACTTTTAATGTATTCTGTAGATATCTGGTTTGCACGAAGGAAAAGAATATCAATTCAGAGTAAAAGCTGTCAATTCGGAAGGTGAATCAGAACCTTTGGAAACAGTAACACCAATCATCGCTAAAAATCCATATTGTAAGTTAGTTTAGGCTATAATTATATTTTAAATTAACATGAATTTATTAAAAATTTTAACAATGTTTGTTTGTTTTAGCTGAACCAGACAGACCTGGAAAACCATTTGCTAAAGACTGGGATAAAAATAGTTGCTATTTGAAGTGGCAAGCACCTGCTTCTGATGGTGGTGCTCAGATAACATCATACATTGTTGAGAAAAAGGATCAGTATAGGTAGATCACATTGAATATTCTTAAAAAAGTAACTTTAAGGTACTATTTCGCTGATACTGCCCAATGCGTCGACTGCCAGCGGTTAAACATTGCTTTAGTGGACAGATAGGAGCCTATTTCAATGGCAATGCCCACTGCGTCAATTGCCTACAGTTAAACATTGTTTTAGTGGACAGATAAGAGCCTATTTCAATGGCACTGCTTGGCAATCTAGGTATGACTTCATATCCATACTGATCAGCCAAATTAAATGAAGAATTGTTCAAAATTTAAACAAAGCTATTGCAAATAATTTTTTAAAGGTTGAAATGACAAGATTGTTTACTACACCAAAAGTATTTTATAGATTAATTCAAATATACCTAAATCCAAACGACATTAAATAAATCGAATAATTTAAAAAAAATTTAACCTCAGGTAAATATTCAAACCCGGATATTGAAAAATCAATTTGTCTTTTTTAATTAAAGTGCTGATTTACTGATTAATTATTGATATGTTGCTGTGATTTCGTTGTAAATATATGATATTTATTACTGAAATGATCATACTAATAATAAGTAATAAATTTAAAATCAGTGATACATCTTCAATTCTTAAAGTAAGATTTTGTCATCTTCTTTCTATCATGATGCATATATTTTATATTCAAAATATTATAAGAAACCATAATTTTTTAGAAGCTGAGCATTAATATGTAGATATATGGAATATACACGGTCCTACAAGGACCTGGGCTTCCTCAAGAACTTCAAGCCAGTTATTCAAATCTTTTGCTCATGTCCTCCATCTCCTTACTCCAAAAAAATTGAAGTCATCCTCATTGTCACCCAACTATCACACTCTTAGTCTTCCTCTGTATCATTTCCCTCCAATTTTTCCATACAGGAGGCGTCTTAGCATCCTAGTTTCTGGCATCCTTTCTACATATCCGAGCCATCTGTGGCAGACTTTTTTCATAAAAAATACCAGGTCTAGCTTTTCATACATAGTACAGAGCTCACAGTTCTTCCTTAATCGCCACATGCCATTTTTTTCTTATTGGCCCAAGTATCTACTTTATATTATAATACATTACTGAAAAGCGCATTGGCTTCCCTATCCAATGATGAAATAATACTGGGGAGGAGGAGAGCTTTTGAGTTTAAAGAGATTAAATGAAGTATGTTGCTCCATCGAAAAAATGTGTGTGATGGAATTGTGGGGAATAATTGCAAGAATTTTTACAGAGATAAATTTCAAAAACACAAGACAAAGTGAACACATTGTAAAGAAAAGATAAATAAACGTATGACTATCACAATCTTTATTTTATTTTTTAACTATCTTGTCCTAAGGCTTAAGTACTCGCTAAAAGATCAGTGTTTTGTGTTTTTAATACATTTTTTTAAAACTATGCAAAAAATAAACTGTTTCAATTTTGCCTATTTTTAGTCATAAGTTTTACCTATTTTTTTTTAATTTTCCCCAGAGATCCAATTAAAGCTAGTTCTCAAGTGCTCGGAGTACTCTAACAACTACTTTTAACAACAATCTTCATATTTTACCTATAAATAAATAATTTTTAATGTAAATATCCAGAATGTTTTAAGAAAACGTTATTTAATTCAAACATTTCATTATTTTAATAAATATTGAACTAGATCGTATAAACTAATTAGTTTATCTCTAAATATGGAAGATGAAGACATCCGTTTATTTTGGTCTGAGAGGATTATTAATTAGAATTGGAATAATCCAATATTTTATGATAAGAAAGGTAGATGTACTTTCAGTAATTAAATGCCATCAGCTTTGTAAGAGATTATTATTATGTATACACTGAGTGAAATGGTAGATATAGTGTTGTTCCTTGGGATATGTAATGAAAATTATAAGGAGGTAGCCATGTGTGATGCTGAAAAATATTCATGTTGGAATCAATTTGCATGCAGGGACTTTCTCTGTGGAGAAGAAAAGAAGGATTATTATTAAAATACCTGCAGGTAGAATTAGAAATATTCTTGAGTATAATCCTCACATCTCTGTTCAGAATTTAGCTAGGATAAGTAGTGTTGTTAAAAGTTCAATTCAGAGTTAGTTCAAGGTAGAGATAGTTAGTAGTTCATAGGTACCATCCATATTATATATCTTTGCACTTGAGCTTATTGCCCAGAAACCATGAGAATAGAATGGAATTTAGTCACTAGAGGCTAAATAAAATTGAAGGTACACCCGTCTTCTTTCACAGAATATTGTTTAGTGATGGAGCAATTTTATGCAGTGATGGAATGTAAAACTGTCACACTTTATATTAGGGTCTGATAAAATCCCTACTAGGTGAAAGAAGCAGACAGACAGCACAGGTGGTCGCTAAATGTGTGGTGTAGGTTTATCAGAAACCAAATCATTAGTCCCCATGCCATTTTGGACAGATTAACACGAGAAACATATGCCAACTTTATTTGGGATGTTCTTTCCACACGGTTGGAAGATGTACCATTAAGAGGTGAAACATAATATGTGGTTCAAACATGAAGTATGCACTAATCATTCTTAGTAGAGGTGAGAAATGCAATGGATAAAGCTTTTCCACACCACTGGATATGAAGAGAAGGTCCTGTATCATACACCTGTGAGATGGCCAAATTTAAAATTTTGTTATTTTTTGTGGGATTGTTTAAAGGAAAAGTCCTATGTCAAGCAGTAAACTTTGCCAGATCAATTACGAAGGAACCTTATTCAACTTTGCCAGAGAATGAGTCCAAAAATAGTTTAAAGAGCAATGGCTTCGATTGGGTAAAAATAGAGTTCTGTCTTGTAAACATTGGTGGAGTTTTTGAACATGTTATATAAAACATTATGTTATGTACATATTTAAAATAACAATGTATTTATATGTAGACATTAATAAAGGAACTTTTTTTGTGTGTCTAATCCATCCTTACATTACCTCAACACACAAAATATATCATAATTCAAATTTCTTCATGTTCAGTTCTTCTAAGAATAATGAAATATGCAAATTTTTTTTTTCTTTTGACTTATAGAAATGAAAGTAAACCTAAAACAGATTGTTGCTGAAAATAGTTGTTAGAATGCTCTGATGGCTTGGAAAATATTTTTAACTGAATCAGTGGAAAAAATTATTTTAAAGAAATATTTTTTTAGGTTTGTAGACATCAATTTTCCAATTTTAGGGTTTTGTAATTTCTCCTGGCCACTGTGAATGGATTTAAGAACTGAAATTTTTATGAGAACTTCTTCAATATCTTAACACAGGTTCCACACTTCTGTTAGGAACATTGAGATAGTGATTGATCAACATCTGTCCAGAAATCACCATGTTTTGCAAATTATCAGAAAATATATCGCTACTCTTAAACAGTCTCTGAGATTCTGTGATTCTATTCCTATTAAAACCCGTCTGTTTCTAGTATCCTCCCTTATTTTTCTTAACTTCAATTATGGCTGCCTTGTATACAGTGGACTATCTAGTGGACTTGAGGTTAGATTGAAAAGGTTAATGAATTGTTTCATTAGATTCATCTCTGGAGTCCCTTGGCACTCCCATGTCTCCAGTTGGTATTCCAAGTTGAAGTGGCTACATTCAGTTTCTCAATGGCAATATTTCTTAGGTGTATTCCTTTTCCAAATCATTACAGCCAAAAAAAACTTCTTAACTTCTCGATTTGTTTACTGTCTGTTCCTCTGCCCATTCTGAAGAGATGTACATTATGGATATGTATAATATACATTGTGTATATTTATATAATATACATGGTGTATATTTATATATTATACATTGTTTATATTTATATAATATACATTGTGTTTATTTATATAATGTATATTATACCAAAATAGGATAATATGAACAAAGAAATGCATGTTTCATTCATCTTGAACAATCATATTTAAAATTCATATAATATTGGGTAAATCATTGTCTGTAAATTTTTTTATTTTCAGTTCTAAGTGGCAAAAGGCTGTAGAATTGATTGGAAGCAAATGTGAAGGTAGAATTCCTGATTTGATGGAGGGAATGAAATATACTTTCCGTGTTACTGCTGTTAATAAAGGTGGTCAGAGTAAACCTAGTGAACCTAGTGATCCTGTTTTAATAAAAGATAGATATGGTAATTTTTTTTATTTTATTTAGATATAATTTGTTTTTGTATTTTATTCAGGAAAATTGCTGGTAAAAGTAAAATAATTTAAATTTATGAATAATAAAATGTTTGATAATTCTATTTAAAGCTCTGTTTTAATGGGAAAAATATTCCCTATTATTCGTTTCAAAACAATCTTTGGGAAATCAAACTTATTTAATTTAAATTTTTTATATTTTTCATTGAGTGTGATAAATTAGCCAATTTATCATATTATGACCAATTGACATATTAATTTTTAACTATAAATACCTTTCATAAGAGTAAGCATGTTTTACTGTGAAATCATTTGTGATCTTACCAAGTTTATAAGTATTGATTTATTTTAGTTTTTTTAATGCAAACTTTTTTCTAAAGAAGACTTTAGTATTGCAAAATATTTTGTTTTAATAATACATCTTTTTACTTTAATTAACCATATATAGTAAAGGAAAGTATTGCGATCGTGAAAATTTTCGAATTTGAATTTTCAATAGAATACACATTTTGAGGTTCCCTGAGTCCAAATAACCCATTCCCACCTAATGGTCTGTGTGTGTATTAGAGATGGGAAATTCGATTATTTTAACTGAATCGATTCTCAACTATTCAATCATATTGATGAATCAATTCTTCGATTGATTTTTTCATCTTCTTTTTTCTTTAAATTAAAAAAGAACTTTTTATTGAAAAAAAAGTTCTCGAACCTTATTGTTATTGAGGCAACATTTTTTTTTAAATGATTGAAATTCCTGGTTCAAATATATATTGATAAAAAGTCATGTATATTATAAATAAGAAGGAAATTTAAATTGGACAGAAAAGTCCTTTTTTTAATTTTACATATTAGATTTTGTCTGTGTATTTAAATTATAAATGAAATGAATTATAATTTTATCATTCTGGGACTGATGACACTGTAGAACAAATTATAAATACCAAATAAATAAAACATGACAGTATGGCTTTACATTAAATTAAATATTTACACAATAATAGGTAATTAAAAATAAACAAAAATTCTCAGAAATGGGTCGTTTTCAATCTGAAGATAGGGTTAAACTTAATTTTAAACTTTGTCTATTCAATAAGGTACTAGATGGGACTACAAAAATATTGGGCCATTTGGCATGATCTACACTCCAACATCAAAATAACAAGTTATATTGGCCAAACTTATAGCTATATAGTTCATACATTCATTTAAAATATTTATTTTCTTCTATATGTTATCAAACAAATATCTTTACTTGCAGTTCCACCAAGGATTGATAGGAGTACATTGAAAGATTTGACTGTGAAAGCAGGACATAATGTGAAAATTGATGTAAAAGTCTCAGGAGAACCACCACCAAAAAAATCTTGGTTCCAAAATAAAGCCCGTTTAATAACTGAGGGCAATGTTGTGATTGAGGATGATGATTACCGAACTAAAATAACCATATCCTCCATAACAAGGAAACAGACAGGAACTTACATCATAAAGGCAGAAAATGACTCTGGGAAAGATGAAGCATCAATTGAAATCACTGTGATAGGTATGTATTTATTTATTAATCTAATAAAGTTCATATTTGTTTGTAATTTTCATCATTAAATCAAAGAAAATATTTGTGAAGACTTATTTGGGAGGTTTCACTTATATTTATAACACTTGATGTTTTTCAAAAAGCAAGTTCATTATTAAAATAAACAAAATTATCTACAAGTTTTGACCAAAAGTTTTTCAGTTTAGACATAATGAAATTTTACTACATATTTATGTTTAAGTTCTTACAGATTGTCTTACAATAATTTATAGAATGATGTTTATGTAGTAACCCAACAGATATAAAGATTTATTTGAGAAAATGTTTGGGATCATGGGGTATTAAAACAAAACAGTCGAGATCCGTGTTACTCTAATGGATGCTAGAATGGAACAGGGTCCAAGCTAGGGATACCCAAGCTCACATTGGTCTGGACCAATGTTGCCACCTTTATTGTTATATTTATTTATACATTACAGTATTTTTTCTCTCTATTATATAAAAAAGTTTTTAGTGACTTTCATATTTTATTTTGTTTTAGTATAAGGATAGTAGGAGACAACAGGAGCTTGAGGATTATTTTACCAATTATACAGCTGTTTATTTAATTACATATGTGTTGAGCTATTGTTTTCTCTTACTCTCCTAATACAAAATAAAGATTTTAGGTCAACAATTTTTACAGGAAATGGTATTTTTTATGTCGATAAAAATTTGTTTTATGATGACAAAAAATTTGTTTTATGTAGACAAAAAATAATACTAAGTACAGAATATATGTAAATTAGAATTATACAATTTGAGCAATGAGTAGATCAAATAAATGAACAGTTGTATAACTTGTCAAATAGGAGTTGGTCCGTTGTCAGGCAGACAGGAAGACCTAATGTGATAAAATGCATATCACATTTATGCAGTTATAAGAAATAAACAAGAAATAATAAATTAATTTTCCACCATAAAAAATAAATTCTATTAAATCTCTATACTTATTTTTATTTTTTGTTTTGTTAATGTTCTGTTGGCTCTACAGACATTGTAGATCTTTGGCTGCTTGATGCAGCCTTCTCCAACTATGCTTATCTTGGGCTATTGCTTTATAGTTTTTTTGCAACATGTTTGTTGATTTGATTTATCCATTTGCTCTTTTGCCTTCCATGTGTTTTTTTTACCAATTATTGAAGCATCCATCGTTATATAGAAGCTTCTTAATGGATGGTTCTCGGCTATGTATCTTGCTCATCTCCTCTTGCTCATCCTCCTTCATATCATGATATATTGAATGTCCAGTTTCTGTAAGCTGTTATTTATTTTCCCTTCTCCTCCATGCATTCATACTTTGATCCCAGATTGCTCCAGTTATCATGTAGATGATTTTATTCTTAAATCGTTTAATGTTCACAGTAATATATCAAAACTGACTTTATCGTAGTATTTTTTGGAATTTCAATACCTTTCACTGAGGAAATAAAGCTCTGTTTGTGCTTTTTACATGCAGGTTTATTTCTGACCATTGGTCATTCATTGATCTTGTTGTGGGGCTGAGGTATTTGAATCTGTATGCTCTCAACAAAAATTTTCTTCCTACACAGTTTTTGTTGTTAGGGTGGAATGTTTGGTTTATTATCACATATTTTGTTTTATCTTCATCTGCTTGTAGGTTGATTTGCTCAGCTCTTATCAGAGTCTTAGAGAGCCTCTCAATTTCCTCTTGATTGCTTCCAAGAATAGCTATATCATTTGTATAACCAAGAATTGTATGAATCATTCTGACATGCATCCCTAAATTTACATATGATGCTGTTTTTATAACCAGTTCTCTAATTCAAAGCTGAACAGTATCAGCGAGAGTCTATCTTCCTGCTGCAAACTAGATCGAACTTAAAAGGCTTCAGATACTTCTCCTTATATTAAAACTCAATATTTAGGTCATTTGTACACACCTTCGTCATTCTCTTCAACTTCTTGGGAACTCCCAGCTCAGTTGTCGTTTCCAAAGATAGCTTTTATAGAAAGAATCATAGGCTGCTTCTAAATTGACAAATATGGCATGCACATCTTGAGTTACTCTCCATCATTTTTGAGCACCTGTTTTGTGATGAAAGTCTGGTCAAGCGTGCTACTTCCTTTTGAAAATCCAACTTGGTGGTCACCCATTATATTTTCATAATACATTTAAATCAAGTTTAGCAGGATATTAGTAATTATCTTGTAGGCGACAGGAAGGAACTCAATACACATAAAAAATCTTTTATAAATATATAAATGAAAATAATGAATATAAAATTAAAATAAAAGGCCTTATATATGTAAATCTAATAAAATTAACAAGTGAACACATGAAAAGAATAAATAAATTATAGACTGCATATTGTCATGCATTTTGAAGGTAATAAAACAATAATAACTCATTGCAGCTCTTATTGGTCAGAGACTAAAAAAAAGTTTTAAAGCACACTGAAGGGTTAAAGACATGTTAGTATAAACTATTACATTCTAGCTGCAACATGACTGTATGAAGTTCTACAAGCTGCAGCAACTTTCGGAAGCGGTCAAAAGTCAGTGGGCCACATCTGTACTAACTTACACTAAATATTCAAACTTTACTTAGACACAGCGGCGCGCTTTGGCACTCATCAATTACACATAGGGTCTGGGAGTGGACTGCATTGTGATACTAATTAGAAGAACCTCGTTTCTAAAAAACAAAATACTCAATAAAAGTAGTTTTGTTGGTCTGCTAGTGGCTAGGTTGTGTTTCTAGGCAATTCGGCCAAACTAGTACTTACTGACCACTAACATATCACACAGCTAAATATTATAACTCTTAATGTAACAAAAGAATTTTCTCAAAAAACGAATAAACTTTCTCAAAAAAATTAAACAAAGTAAATTACATATTAAATTTATGTACAATTAGATAAATTATTATAATCTGGCATTAACATTAGGTATAAAAAAAAGCTTATTTATTAAAAATATATACATAATAAATACACACATTATATATATATTTATATGAATAAGTCTATGACTATAATTTTTCTTTATATGCAAGATGTTCCAAGTGCTCCAGAAGGCCCTCTAAAAATATCAGATATTCATAAGGAAGGTTGTACACTAAAATGGAAACCACCAGAAGATGATGGGGGCTCTCCTATTGAATATTTTCAAGTTGAAAAGCTCGATACTGAGACAGGTATGTTAATTTATTTCGCTATGGTCCTTCATTTTTTAAATTTTTATTTCATTACTACTATAAAATACTTAATTATTATGAAGAAATCAATGGATACACAGAGAATTTTTAAAAAATATATAATTTCACTGGGTGTCCTGTAAGTAGAGGGAAATATTTAAAGGGGTTATGGCAGATATTAAGGGCTATGAACAAGTTTATATAAAAAATGGTCCAATTTTCAGCATTAAAGTAGGAAACAAACGTTTTGTCATTTTTTAAGTAAGTCACAATTTTGTATGATGAATAGGAAGTGATAACAAAAAAAAAACTATTTGATTTAAGAACTTTAGAGGTGTGTAAGTAGTTGACTGTTGAAATTAAAAGGATGAAAAAATTGTCAGGATTTGCTGTAAAAAATCTAATTTTTTAAAAATAAATTTTTGACTGCAAATCCTGACAATTTTTTCATCCTTATTTAAACCAAGCAATTAAAGTTACTTCACTGTAAATTAGAGAAAATTTACTTCAAACAAAAGTAGAATTTGTCATTATCAAAACCACTTAAACAGGGCTTTTCAGCAGACTAATTTATGCTAAGGTCTGTTTATAAAAATATTATGAATTGTTCGCAATTATTGTTTTCAAAAACTTCCTTTTTTAATCAACTTTAAGGCCATATTAATTAAGTTGTAGGTTTATTAAGAAATAAGTTGAGATTCCCTTCAAGTTGTGTAAAAAAAATTAGGTGTTTTGATATTTTGTCACATAAAGTACCTGTGTTTTCAGCAAAAATTACCACAATAAATTATGGTAAAGTTTTAATTTCTTTTTTTTCATGATCTGAGATGTATTATGATAAACATTTTAAACTGTAAACTGTATTATTACACATTCTTTAAAACAAAAAAAGTTTAAAATTATGATTTTTCGAATATTTATCCTCTAAAGTGACAATGAAACTATTTTTATTATAATCTCTACTACACAAATTGATCTGTATCTATAAGTGACCAACTAAATGTTTCTAATCCTAATATTTATGTTTTCATGAAAATAATTCAAGCAATATCAGAAGGCTTCTTTATTTTAAACCTATTAGGATTCAATACAAATATTTAGACTTATAAATATAGATCAATTTCTGTGAAGGAGATTTTAATAAAAAACATTTATTTATTCAACAATAAACATGATTCACTTAAAAAAAAACAACTTAAATTTCCTACTTTTCTACCAACAATTGGACAATTATTTATATGAACTTTTTTGGAACTCTTGAGGAATACTATAACCTGTTCAAATATTTCTCTCTACTTAGAGGACATTCTGTATATAAGATTAATCTTGATATGTGATCTTTTCAAACCAGTAAACTCAATTTTTTATCACTTGATAGTCAAGAAAATTATAGTAATAAATCAAGTTATAAAATTATAAATTATAAAAAATCTGATAATAGCAGGGAAAAAAAATTACAGATATTATTTTTACTTAAAATAATTGTTGTTAGTTTCAGTACATTTCTCCCAATGCCTAACAAGATTTTTGAACCCTTGTTAAAAAAAGTTTTTGGCTGTGAATCAATAAACTCGAGAAATGAATTTTTCTCTCATTTTCATTTGGAATATTTTGTTTTTTAAAAATGTGTCAATCTCAAAAAAACGGTTATCAGATGTATTTCAATCACTAATTTCAATTCAATAGTTTAATCCTTAACTTAGGTCTACTGTAGTAGACAATATATATATTAATAAAAATATGAAAAATTAACCATCAAGTTTTATGTAAATAAAGCACCTATAACTTAGGTAATATTTCAAAAGTTATTCATGCAGGAAACCGATTTCCAATTGATTATTATAAAAAGTGTTGTATCTCACACTTTTTGAAATTTTTAATCAAAACTAGGATACAAAGTTAATTAAAAATGTTACATAAGAATATATTTTACCTTCAATATTTTAAGATAGTTTGTATATATTGGGTTGGAACTTAAAAAATGTTCGTTCTTAAGATATGAGAAAAAAAAAGCTTTAATAGTTAAGTGACCTTCTTCTTTCTGTCTCTGATATCATCTTTTTATTTCTTTATCTGACAACTTCTTCTTATTTTATATCTATTTATATTTATTTTTTTTATTATTTTTTTTTTTATTTTCAACATGTTTTGTATCTTTTGTAGCCCTGAAGACGACCTGAAAAGTGGGTCGAAACGTCGGCAAAAATTAAATAATTACTATATTTTAATTTAGTATTTATTTGATCGCACCCCGCCCCTAATTAACTCCTTCTCATTTAATAGTTAAGCTTCAGTCTTCTAATTCTCAACGGTTTTTATCCCTTTTTTGGCTTTGAATTAATTAACTCGACAAATAAAAATTTTACCTCATTTTCATTTTGGAATATTTTGTTTTTATAAATGCATCAAATGCTCTGAAAAATTGGAAGTTCGGTTACTACAACTTAGATAAATATGGTATATTACATTGTAACATCTATTTTTAGACCATGAATTTTTCAAAAAGTTAATTTAATTGACAAACATGTTACCTTATATGATGAAATAAAATATATCTGATTCAAAAATGTATTGTAAATGTATATGTTTAAGGACTCTAATGGAGTATTAAATCATAAAAAAAAATAAAAATTTCAACATAAAAAAACTCTCTTTATTTTCTAGTTGTTTATGTTTATGTTCTATTCCTTATTATTTTTTACAAATAAATGTTTATTTGTTTGGGCCATCATTACGAACTTATATGGCAAATAAAAAAAAAACAATTTTTTGTTTTTGTAAACCAATTTAAGGTTTATGCTTTTTGAATTTTTTTTTTAAATCCTTTATAATTTAAAAAAAATACAATTGAAAACATCATGAAATGACTAATTATTATACAATGAATAAAATAAGATAGTAGAAGCCAATAGAAGATCAATATAAAATTTACAATTTTCTTTTACCATGTATAAAAAACAAATATTTTATTTCTTAAAGGTCGTTGGATGCCAGCTGGTAAAACAAAGGATAGTAAACTGGATTTGGAAAATCTTGTGCCTGGTCATGAATATAAATTCAGAGTAATGGCTGTTAATGCAGAAGGAGAATCTTTACCTTTAGAGGCTGCTGAATCTATAATTGCTAAAAATCCATTTGGTATTATTTTATTTACAGATTAAATATATATGTATATCTTATTTAGTGATTAATCTTCAAAAGGCTGAATGTCTTTGCTTAATATATAAGCATAGTAATAAGTATAAGCATAATATAAGTTTTACTCACTGTAACAACCTGTTTTTTTTTTTTGCTCTACCAATGAGACCACTGTAATGCATTACTTCACCCTTTCAGTGCCAAGATTCCACCAGTTAGGACTAGATGAAATTCAGACTGTGGCCAGAGTCACAGTACTTACGAATACTACTTAATAGTTAAAAGCTTCTCTCACCATCACCTGACTTGTCCTGTTCTCTTGAAATTGAGGAAATAGTTCTGTAATCTTCTAGTCTTTGAATTAAAAAAGGAGCCTTCTGATAAGAAAAAGATTAACCCTCTTTAAATTCCACAGGTCCTCCCTCACACTTAGTTTTTTGTAGGTCATGCTTGTAAAAACAGATACATTGATGACATTAGATTGCGTTTTCTGTTAAGTGTCTGTGATGAATTTGCATTGTCATTTAAAAAAAAAAATTGTAGTATATTATTTATACTGATTTTTTTTTCCCCAATAGCCATGACTGTAATACCCTAGTGTGCTAATTAGTATTTTAAATCTGTGAAATTTCAGCTAAGATGTCATTTATTTATTTTATTTCCAAGGTTAATTTAAATAAAATTAAATCAAGACAAATAACAAAACTCGCCATAAATCAGGAAGGATATGTCCCTCATCCTTTATTTAGGCTTATTTTCTTCACTTCATTTTCAGAGGGTAACTTTGATTTTGCTGGAGTAGTTTTTACAGATAATTTATGATCAAATTTCATTTATTTTCTTTATTCATTTTTGTTCCCCTTCTCTGAAACTAATGTTAAAAGTTCTTGACTTATTGTTTGCAACATAATACAATTATTTTTTTTAAATAAAATTTTAAATGATCACAATTGAATTTATTCTAACTTAACTAAAAGAAATGTTCTAACCTCAAAAGCTAGAAGCAAAAAAAAAGTTATACTCATTTTAGTTCAAATTATTAATAAATTATTGAAAGTAATTGGTTTTATGACAATTCTTCAATGATCGCAACATCTGTGACCTCGGCTATGGAGGTTGAAATTATCTTTTGTGGATAAGGTCACAACCGTTGCAACCAAAAAATATATTTGAAAATACAATTTTTATAATTTTATGTTTTTTAACAAAGTAATGCTAATAAAAAAATGTCATTTTGCATGAAAAAATTAAACTTCACTCGTGGTCACTCAGGGGGACGGACACATGCTTCATCTAATAGAGCTCAGTTTTCAATTCTTTTAACTTGACTTCCTTCTTTTTTCTCTTCTCTTGATTCCTTCAAATTTGAAGCAGGAGTTTCTCTTATTTTTTTTTTCAGGTTAGAAACATCATAGTTCCTCTCAACTTTTTTTAGAATGGAAAGAGTGTATTTTCTCTTAATTTTTTAAAAATAGAACCAGTGTACTATCTCTCAATTACTTTAGAATAGATTCCATCTTTACCACAATTCTAGGAAAACAAGTATCTGAAAACCGTTTTTTATTGCTGGGGATCTGAGATATTTAATGATTTCTTTTGTGTGATTGGCATGCAAAGTATAGGGAAGTTTAGAAGGTTAGCTTCTTTGAAGATAAAAACAGGTATCCTGCAAAACTGTATATTTTCAATCATTATAAATCTGTTAAACAGCTTTTTCTTGTAAGAAACTGGCAAAGTGTAGGTCTATGATTGTGACCTATATTTCTGTTTGAGCTATAACTTAGATTAATCTCTATATCTATTTCCTATTGATGGATATCATAATGTTTGTGCCATCTTGTCACGTTTCCTGCTGGCACTCAATTTTTCATTTTCCAATTAAGATGATTCATCTTTATTCTATTCATTTTTCGTCTGTTATCACGTATTTTGACAAAATATCTACTATGAAAGATACTGTGTTAGTGTTGCAGGAATATTGCTTCAACATTTGTTTGGTTGGGGCAAGATATAAAATTTCCCATCAACTTCAGTAGCTCACACTGCTTAAGTCACGAAAGAGGAAATAGATTATGAGGGTGAATGTCAGTAGTTGAAAGTTCTTTTTCTGGAACTTCAATTAAAAAAAAAATAAAATGTATTTATTTGGTAATGAAATATTTTAATTTCTCCAACTTTTAAATTTGAATTTTTCACTAAACTGTTTAAGTATCGACACTTTAAACAATGGTTTTCTTATTTATTCAAATATAACATTGTATTAATAAAATCTCAATTTCTTAACTTACAATGTAATGGTATTAGTTTTAAATTTTAGCAACTCTTCATAAGTAAAATGTTTCACCATGAATTCAAAAATTTTAAGTAGCTTTTCTAATTTCCTAGCTTATTGGATTTTTAAATTATTGGAGGAAATGAGGTACCATCTATAGTAAATATTAACTTTGGATTGTTGATCTGAGGTGTGCTTTCTTATGTGTTAAGGAATTTATGTGATCTTACTTTTTCCTCTCTTTTTGACATCTGAGTTGGCAAAACTTCGATTGGTTAATGTTTTACTGAAGGCTTGGTTTTTGGAGTCTTCCAATTATATCATAATAATATTTTTTATCAATTTTATTATTTATTTAATCTTGTCTTTATTATGTTTTAATTATAGTTCTCTTTTTATGACAAAGAATTTATTAAACTTTTTTAAAGTATATAATTAATGGATGGCACTAAATTATATTTACAAATTTCATTTATAACACTTTAGATGAACCTGGTGCACCATCAGCTCCAGAAATAGTTGACTGGGACAAAGATTTTGTTGACTTAAAATGGTCACCACCATTGAAAGATGGTGGAGCTCCTATTACTGGTTATATTATTGAAAAAAGAGAAAAAGGAAGTCCACGCTGGACCAAATGTGCTGAAGTTAAAGGGCAAGATTGCAAAGCTAGAGCAGAAGATCTAGATGAAGGAGTTGAATATGAATTTCGAGTAATTGCTGTTAATAATGCAGGACCTGGAGAACCTAGTTTACCCAGCCGACCAGTGATACCTAAGCCAAGGAAATGTATGTAAAATATTCCCTTTCATTTAAATTTAAATAATAATCAATAATTTCATTGAGTGTGTGTGTGTTTATATATATATATATATATATATATATATATATATATATATATATATATATATATATATATATACTCAATGAAGTATATAAGTAAAAGTGTGTATATAAGTAATGTGTGTTTGTGTGTATATATATATATATATATATACTTTTTTTTTATAACTTATTCATTTAACTGGGAATAAGGTCACTTTTATTACATTTTTTTTTTATTCACTTATTTAAGTGACCTTATTCCCAATTAAATAATTATGTTAAAATATAATACTCAAAGGTCAATTGAAGTAAATTTGTAAAATATATATATATATAAATATATAATAATATATATATATAAATATATAATAATATATATATATATAAATATATAATAATATATATATAAATATATAATAATATATATAAATATATAATAATATATATATATATATAAATATATAATATATTTATATATATATATATATATATATATATATATATATATATATATATATATATAAATATATAATATATTTATATATATATATATATATATATATATATATATATATATATATATATAAATATATAATAATATATATATAAATATATAATAATATATATATATAAATATATAATAATATATATATAAATATATAATAATATATATATAAATATATATTATATATTATTATAAATATACAGCCATATGTACATAAATACATCCGTTTATAGTACATATCATTACATGAAAAACAATTAATTCGGTTGAATTAACTAAATAAAAATTAATTAATTTTACCTAATTCTTATTGGAAATTTTGGTTAGATGAAATCATATCATATTGATTTCACTTTTTTTTGTAAACGTAAAAGATTTTTAAAGTGATAGTTGATGGTTTATAATCATTATTGTTTCCTCGGAGAGCAGTTATAAGTATTTCTATCTAGAAGATCAATTTTTCATTATTCGTGGTGGTTTGTTAACTATTCCCTTTCATTATAATTTAGTTTATTTTTATATAAACTATATTTATATAAAATTAAAATTTATTTATATTTTTATAAATTTATAATATATATATATATATATATATATATAATATATGAAAATTATATAATATATATATATATATATATATATATATATATATATATATATATAATATATGAAAATTATATAATATATATATATATATATATATATATATATATATATATATATATATATATATATATATATATATATTTAAAATTATATAAACCAAGACACTAGGATTATTTGGTACTTTATTTTTTTTTTTTTTACTTTGTTTCATGAAAAGGACTCTTAGTGAATTTTCATATTAAATTCAATTAGTTCTGACCAAGTAATATCAATAAGTCAATATTTTTAATAGAATTAGGAATTGAGTAGCAGCTTTTCGATCCAGACATTTATACCCATTTGATTGTTAAGGATAATAATTGCATGTAACAAAAAACTGAAAAGTGTTGTGGGCTTTCTACTATTATTGTAAACTAACTATTATTGTTTAGCCAACTTTCCAAATTTTAATTAAGGCAAGGCAAATAACTTTCATGAAGTTCTTAATAGGCAATATTCTACTTATTTATGCTGTGGACTATATTTTAATTAATTGTTAGGTTATATAAATTGTGCAAAAACAGCTTACCAGTTTTATGCTGGGGCAGACATCATTACCTGAGGGATCCCTTGGTGAACCCCAGTAAGAACATTTAAAAAAAAGTATTGCAATAAATTGTGTTGCAAAAGTGGCAGCTTGGCACTTCTAGAGTGAGGCTATAATCAGCTGGACCAATAACTTTATTTGGCCTAGTTATAATTTCCTGTCAAACCAATAATTTTTTTTTTATTGAGAATGTTCTAAAGCTAATAGCTATAAGTTGGTTTAAGTGTACAATTCCAAACAAACAACTTGTTGGAATTTGGCTCACAGATCAGCTTTTGGCAAACTGTTATTATAATTATTATTATATTAAATACTTTTAGAACAATATTTTTTATTGTTTTTATGCTCAATCATCGCCCTAGATTTTTAAATGGTTATAAATATTTATCTATCTCGAACAGCTGCTATTTATGAATTTCCACTTTTTAGTTATTAGATAAGTTTAAAAAAAATATATAATATTAAAAAACGGTAACCTAGCAGTAATTAAAAAGTTAGTTTTTTATCATACCAGGTTGTTTATTCTTTAGCTATTAGAACACATAAAAAGATCTTAGCTTCTTTAAATTTAATGTACATTGTTCAGCAATAATACATTGTATAATAATACCATCAGTATCTATATAATACTACTATCACCATTTTCAGAAAATATTAATTAGCCAAATAAGAAATTGAGATAGCTGTTTAACTTTAAAAATTAATTGTAATATTTTTTTTGATTTTAGTACCTCCAAAAATAGATCGTAAAAACTTAAAGAATATCACTGTTCATGAAGGAGAACCAATTATGTTTTTGGTAAAAGTTCTTGGAGAACCTCCTCCAGACATAGTTTGGTACCGTGGAAACAAAACTATTTCCTCAAGCGGATCAAGGCAAATTGAAGTAACTCCAAATAATTCAAAGTTTGTAATTCAAGCTACTGTAAGAAAAGACACAGGAGTTTACAAAATTCATGCTTCCAATAGATATGGAGTGGATGATGCCGAAGTTGAAATCAATGTGATAAGTAAGTTTATTCCTCTACTTTCCCTATTTTTCTTTAAGGTTTTCTTGTTTATACTATTTATAATTTAGTAGAGTCAACTAGTTGTGCATGACAGAGCTGTATACCATTGTGACTTTATATTGAAAATAAAATCGTAGCATACATGGAAGCAAGTGGTAATTAGGCTGCATGGTATTTCCTTATTTGTTTCATCTCTCAAAAACATTGAATGGTTGGACTTCAAGTTCTTGTAAACAAGATTGACATAAACATTTAACCAAGGATAACTGTACCTACCAATTTCTTAAATTTTGAATAATAAAGATTTACTAAAATCCTTAACGTATACTTATAGATCCGTTGAAGCAATAATTCTGAAAAAAAAAATATTATATGGTAATACAATAAATTTATTCATTATAAATTATTTTAAAATAATTTGTTACATAATAAATAATATATAATAAACTTAAAAATATATAATAAATGTATAATAAAAATTAAAATAAATATACTTAAAAGTAAAAGTAAAAATAAATATTATTATTTATTTTTGCTATTTTTTATTTTGACTGATCACCCCAACCATCCTTCTCTTCAATAATATATACTACATATAGAATAAGAATATTGGAAAGAGTGTCTGAAACTATATACAATAAGCTGCTGATTATTAATTTGTAGCTAGTGTTTTCAATTCTCAAGTTGCTTTCCATAGTATATTTAATATTTGAATTCCATGTTCCTTAGACAATTTTTGTTCTTGAGATAGTTACAGCACAGTGTTTTAATTTTTTTTTTTTTTTCTGTTGCCATTACAGACCATGTAGATCTTTTGCCACTTTAACAAGCCTGCTCCATCTCTGCCTGTCTTGGGCTATTTCTTTCCATTTATCTGTACGCAGCTCTATTGTATCATTGTTGATTCTATCTATCCATCTGCTTTTTTGCTTTACGTCAAGTTATGTTTTTCAACGAGTTTCTTGATAAATTTTACGATAAAACTCAGAATTTTTCCAAAACATCTATTTTCCCCACAATCATTAGTATTGTTTGATTGATACTATACATAGTTGTAAAAGGAAATGGAAAGTGATGGAAATGTATAAATTTAACCAAATTGGGAGGCATGAAAAACATGGTAATTAATTATTTTAAATGAAGTTATACTGTCGTTTCCACTTTGACTTCCTATATGAAAAAACTTATTTACTCTAAGGTCAATAAGTGAAAGTTGTGTGATTGCCCCAGATTTTTAAATTTAACCTCTGCATAAATTTAACCTGTAATCTACGTGCTTGGATTATCAAGACAGTGCTGTATTTGTATCTTATATTTAACTAAAATCTTGAAGAACAACAATATCATTTTTGTGAACGGAAATAAAAAAAAAAAAAAAGATAACCATCTTCAGTCAACCAAACAACTTTCCTAATTTTTTTTTACTGTCTTGAGTTGACCTATGACATCAAGAATTATAATATAAACTTTACTTCCTTAAGGATTCATATTTTCTACATTTGGCTTTCTGCCAGTAAAAATTTCTAAAATTTAATTTTTCGAATGTAGAGCTGTTTATTAAACTTCTTATTTTTATACCTCCAAGTTCCAACAAGAACAGCTTGTATATTGCTCTTACTTCTCTGCATCCCTTAGTACTCCCACATCTATTCTTATATATTTTTGCTTTAAAGCTCGTTTTACCTGTTTTACCGGAAATTTTATGTCAACTACCAGTAAGCATTGATCCATACCAAGTTCTGCTCCTCGTATTACTTCCATGTCTGTGGAGTACCTTCTGATGTCTTTGTCATGCACAAAGTCATCAATTACACTTATCACATTTTTTTTCCTAAGCTTCGTATGTAATTTTGTGTATTGATAGATAGATAGATAGATAGATAGAAAGTAAACTTTATTCTGGGACGAGGTCCCTTATGAATAACAGTTATGAACACAAAAAATTAAAACTACATCTGACCAAAAATTACATTAATCAATATTAAAGAAAATATACAGTATCTCAGTAAAAGTACATTAAAACAAGTAAAAATAACACCATTTTGAAAAACAAAATAAATATTATTTAAATGAAAAAAACAAACAAAATAATGTAAGCATGGGTTGATTTTTAAAATTAAAACTCAATCAATTTTATCAACCATTCACCTCAGTCAAAATCTGTTTCACAATATTTATTTTATTGTATAACATCATTTTGGGATGTGAGAAGGAATTGGTAGAGATGATATTTAAATGAGGACAAGGAAGAGGCATGGCGGATATCAGATGGCAAGGAATTCCTGAAGTCAGTGGATCGGGCAATAAAGGAATATTCAAATGTCTTAGTTCTATGGGAAGGGATATAAAGGTCGGAAACACGGGATCTTATTTTCTGGGAGTGGACCACAGGTTTTAACTGTAGGAGACTGTATATGTAGGAAGGGTGTCGGGTGTTGATCATTTGGAATAGGAAAGAGCCAAGGAAATATTGTCTGCGGAAAGAAGGGAAGAGCCACTTTAACTCATCGTAGAGTTGGGACACATGAGACCTATGGAGGAAGGGGAGAGAGGGGACTTTCAGGCTGAAGCCCCCACTCCAAAATGGTAAAATATATCCGTCTTATGAAAAAAAATATTAAAAAATTGTCTCCAAAAAACATCATTGTTCTTTAATTACATTTAATAGGACCTTAAGGATCACTTACATTTTTCTTCCAAAGTAGTTATCATTATATATATATATATATATATATATATATATATATATATATATATATATATATATATAGAAAAGCTTTCAGTTGAAGCCCCCCAAAATTAATTCTTGGATTCGCTAGTGTGGGGCACCTTAATAACCTAAACTTATTTAAAAAAATTTAAATTATATTTTGTACCAATAAAAATTAAACAAAATGTTACCTTGGGCTATAGTATTGACAAAATTGTAGTTTAGCGATTTAATGAAAAACACAAGTTAGTGTAGTTTAGCTGCTTAGAAGGCCGAATTGTTTTGAAGAGAAACTCTTTTTGTATTTGAAGGAAAGTTTGCCTAGTTTACTATGAATCAATTGTTAATTAACTAATTTTTATCTTATCACTTCCTATGAAAAAGAAAATGTGCCCACCTTGAGAATAGACAAAATTGGACTTAACTCCTTTCCCGTACGGAATTGGACCATGCATTAAATGTACTTTTTTGTTGGAAATTTTGTCTATAATCACTTCCCAGAATATGGCCATTAAGAACTGAATCACTGTGCTCACACACACATGTACACACACACACATACACACACACACACACAACACACATACACATATATATAATTTTGTTTGTGAAAAAAAATTTACACAAATCAAATTATTTAAAAAAAAAAACATAAACTCTAATGTTTCTTTACAGGTAAACCAGGAAAACCTGAAGGCCCATTAGAAGTATCGGACATTAAGAAAGATGGTTGCACATTGAAATGGAAAAAACCTAAAGATGATGGAGGAGAGCCAATAGAAGGATACATAGTAGAAAAATTTGATCCTGAAACAGGGGTGTGGTTACCTGTAGGTCAATGTCAAGTTCCAGAAATGGAAGTTACAGATCTAACTCCTGGACATGAATATAAATTCCGTGTCAAAGCTGTGAATAAAGAGGGAGAATCAGAGCCTCTTGAAACATATTCCTCAATCATTGCTAAGGATCCATTTGGTAAGAAATTTTCACAAAATTCATTAATTTATCTTTTCATAGACAATTATATCTTAATACAAATTTAAGTCATGTAATTTAATTTTTATCTGGCTTTCCTTGCCTATTTTCAAGTCACATCTATTCACTAATTGAAAGAAAATATAGATTTTAGAAAATAGTTTAAATCAACCATGGCCAAATAAAAATTTATATTTTAAATAAAATTGTTTGTAAACAAATTTTCAATAATTCAATACAATTGCTATATATATGTTTGCTTTTATAATGAATTGTCACATTATCTTGTAAATTTGAAAGACAAAAACACTCATTAAATACTGATGGAAAAATTTACCTCAATCACTTGGAAATTTGTTTCTTTAAGCAATTTACCGTACTTTAATTTAATTGAAAAGTGAAATGGGAAAGGAAGAAAGCTATAAATTAGTTATGAAATTATAACTGTGAATATATTGATCGTTGTATATATGAATAAAAGTTTGTGGAAGCATGGAACATCCTCAGATCAATTAAGAATACAGAACAGCAAAATGTTAAAAATTGGTCTCATATGAGAAAAACAATGGGCAGAGTTATTGAAAGAGTATCGAAAGGAATTCATGTTGGAAGAAATGCAAGATTATACAAAAGGGGCTGACAAACTCTCAATAGAAGTCTCAGTTAGTGAATTAGAATAAAATAATATGGGAAATGGAAAATCACTAGGACCATGAAACATACCCATAGGTTTAATGATATATAGACCTTCTGAACTTATAAAGAAATTTGTGGAGCTCTTGTAACTTTGTATAAAACAAGGAACAGTTCCGATCAAATGGATGGAGGTTCATATCACTCCTATTTACAAAAAAAGGAGTGAAAGGTTGTGGTCGAATTATAGAAGGATCATGGTAATTAGCAGCTTAAGTAGTTTATATGGTAGAATAATAAATAAGAGGTTAATGAAGAAAGTAATAATATGATACCTGAGGAACAGACCAGATTTAGAAGGGGTAGGTAGTCTGTAGATTGTATATTTACATTTACGCAACTTATGGAAAAATTCAAAGCTCATAATAAGGAGAAATGATGAAGAAGATGCTTCCTTTATGATGAGGAAGCTTATACAGTAGAAAGTCTAGAAATCAGTAAAACCAAAATCGAGCATATGCCATTCAATAATAGTGGAAACTCTTCACTAAATGTTGGGGAATGGGATTAGGTCCCAACTGAGCAATATAAATATTTTGAAGAAACACATCAACAATAAAATACATTGATGAAAAGATCATCTGAGATAGAAAGGTCACATGGACTTTAAATTCTGTTCTATGGAATAAGGATGTCAAGCTTCAAACAAAAAAGAGACTCGCCATTCATTTGTTGTAAGCACTTCGTTATATTCCTCAGGAACCTGGACCATTACTACAACCCACATTCTGCAAGAATACTGTTATCAATGGAAATGGATTTTTGTAGACATAGTTGTAGAATATCTAGAGTAAATATGTTCCAAATAACTCAATTAGGGAAAAATGAAAGAACTACTTAACATTCTGTACTCCATTGAGACAAAAAAGCTGTGTTGGTTTGGGCACATTATGGGAATGACAAATGACAGATGGCCTAAAATGATATTTAAGCATGTACCATTGGAAAGGAGTAAGAGAGGTCGACCAAAAAAAGAGATGGATGGATGATATACATGAGTCAATAGCATCAAGAAGACTCCGAGAGGAAGATTACCATGACAAAAAGAAATGAAGGCAGGGTTTTTTAGGCTACAACAAAAGATCTTAAAGTGTTTTAATAAGGTCATTTATATAAAAAATTTAGTTTGATATAATTTTAGTTAATAAATAATAAATATTAAAAATACATTTATTTATGAAAAATGTGTACTATTTAGAATTGAATTTATAATTTTTAAACAATTCAAAATTTACATACATTAAAATGTTACAATATTTTACAAAAATGAACTTAGCAGCTTGCATTACTGTCTCTGGCATGAATTATGGCAGTCAATCACCTCCCTTTGCCCTTAAAAAGATTATTAAAGAACTGAGAATTCTGGCGTTACACCTGTTACTTCATCATTACCCCGAGATGCTCTTAGATTAATGTCTGGATTTTTATGTAGCCACTCTAAGAATATGACAAAAACTTCTTAGAGGTACTCAATTATTCTCTGAGCTTTATGTGGGTCATATATCGTCATGTTTAAGCAGAAATCCATTTCCAATGTGGAGGTCACATTGGACATGGAAATGTTCCGTTCAGTATTCCAGGTGAAACTATAAACAGGAGACACCATTTTCACTCGACTAGTCCAAATTTTAGGATTTGCCGATGATTTTGAAATATTAAACAGATTAAAGAGAGCCCTAATTGAATTATTGGTAGGTTGTGAAAGGTTTGCCAATGAATTTAGGTTGGTTATGTATACATGCATATTGGTGGAATAAGAGATCAAGAAACCTACATAGAAATTGAAAAATACAAATTCCTTTATAGGTAAATCTGGTAACATAACTAAATTTTAAAAATGATGTTTCCCAGGAGATTGACAGAAGGATCAAAGCAGCCAACAGGTATCATTTTGAAATGATGAATCACTTAAAAATCAAGTTTCTAACCAAAACAAACTTTGCCTGCTCAATACATTAGTTTGACTTATTCCCAATGGCTTTTGTGGAAGAAATGCTGGGCATGCCACCACTGTAATTGGAGTTTAAAGCTTAAGCTTTTAGATCATTATACAGGCTGAGCCAACAAAAAAGTTGCTCTAATATCCCTGTACAGGACATACTAAACTACTTCAACGGATAGAGGGTGACAAGGTGCTAGCCATCCACTCTGACATACAAATCCGAGAATATCTGGACACCAAATATGGTGTAGGTATTGAAATTGGCAGACAACATAAACCGAAAAACACACATAGCTCAGAAACAGGCATCTATCGGAAAGACAAGAAGGACAGGCTTTCAATTTCCCTTGCAAATATGCCTCAGTAATTCAATATGAACTACTGGCAATTGGCCATTGTGCCCAAAACCTCCTGCATGACCAAATGACTGGTGAAAGGTTAATAATTTATATTGATAATCTGGCAGCAATAGGTGCTTTAAATAATTACTAAACTTACTTGTTAAAGACTGTTGTGCAGCACTTAACAACATTGCTGAGCATAACAAGGTTGCCATTGAGTGGGTGCCTGATCACTCGGGCATCCCAGTCAACAAAGTGGCTGACAGACTAGCCAGGTTAGGCTCAGACACTATTCTCACAACTCCTGAATCTGTTTGTGGATTTATTCGCAGTACTTTAGCTACAAAAGAAGGATTAGGGAGCTATATGGTGCTAAGTACAAGCAGTATTGGTCAGATAAGGTACAGCAGCATTCAAATCTGTCCTTAAAGGGCTTTTCTACAAAAGGAGTGAAAGCTGCTATTCAGTTTGGATAGAGCAGCATTTAAAAAACTTACAGCGATCTACACTGGACACTGTAGGTTAAACTATCACATGTACAATCTTTGATTGAATAGAAATCCACTATGTAGATTATGTCATGAGGAGAATGAAACAGCTGTCCACATTGTTTGTCAGTGTGATAGGTTTGTTAGGCTTAGACTCGAGCTGTTTGGGGAGGACCAAGTGGATGACCCCAGAAGCTATGTCTATTCACCCTATAAACCTACTAAAATACATTGAAGTAATAAACTAAAGTTTAAGCGTAAAACAAATTAGAACATGGCGCACAATAGATCCTTGTAGTGCTCTATAACAAAAGGGAAAAAAAGTGATTAGATTCTGAAATAGTTAATGACTGAGAAACTCCATTAAACCAGGAAAGGAGGAAGATTCAAGATGGCTGAATAGAGTGGTCCCTAATGCAAGACTCCTATCAAATTATAGAAATTGGTCAGCCGTGGCTCAGGACAGAGGTATCTGGCGGAGAGTCTTAGAGGAGGCCTAGACCCACTTAGTGAGTTGTCGATCCATTGTCGTCATGTTATTTCTTGTACTTGTGAGCATTTAATGATTTACCTTGCACAACCATTAATTCTACATGTACACCAATGTTATGGTTTTATATAATATTCCTAGTTGATAACAAAGTAATTTTTTGTAGTTATATAATTATTTATTTTTATGTGTTTTTTAGAAAAGTTTAAATGAATTATTTTTTCAAATTAATCAATGTTTTAGTGATATTCACATAGTGTCACTGTTTGATTTTAACTACGACTTTGAAAATTTGCTATTTTGTTTATATAATTTCATTGAAGTCATTTTTTATTATTATCTCAAAATGGAGGCGACTGAAATACTGCTTACCTTACCAACCCTTGATGTACAAACAACTGTCAATATTAATGAGTAAAAAGCATCAGAACAATCGTTAAATATAAACAATAATTATACTTTTTTTATTCTTTCTGCTCACTAAGGTTACAATAATCATAACCAATATTGTGAAATGTTATTATTTTTAGTTGAACCAAGTGAACCTGGAACTCCAACACCGACAGATTGGAATCAAAATCAAGTTGATCTGATTTGGGAAGAACCAATATCTGATGGCGGTTCTCCAATAACTGGTTACATAATTGAAAAGAAGGACAAGTATAGGTAATATAATTCAGAAATATATCTTGATTTGTGTATTATATTAAGTGGAAAAATTCAAATTATAAAGCCGTGAGTCTCTAACATACAAGTGAACAGTTAACCTGCCAACGTTTTGCCAATTCAGGCATTATCAGGGCATAAAAAACAAGATCACATATATGCAAAAAGAAAACATAAAAAGAAAAAAAATGGCTATTGACATCTCATGAAGCCATTCAAACACATACTTAAGAAAAGAGAAGGTTCTATGAGCAAAGCTAAGGAAGGTGATATTGAACATCCGATTATATATATGATCTTGTTTTTTATACCCTCATAGTGCCCGAATTGGAGAAACGTTGGCAAGCCAACTGTTCACTTGTACATTAGAGACTCGTGGCTTTTTAATTTGGATTTTTCCATTTATAACATGATAACTTTATATCTCTTTTCTAGCTATTTGCTTATTTTAATTATAATTAATGTTTCAAAGAATGTAGAATTAGACAAACAACACATCCTACAAAATATTGCTTTTTATTATGTTGGAACAATTAAGTAAAACTATTCCTTAATAAGTCCATAAAAATTACATAAATAAAAAGTGCCCTCACTTTTCTTTTTTTTAATATTTTATATGAAAATAAAGTGTTTCTCTCTCTACTATTTTCCAAGTTTTATTTTTTCTGTTCAAAGAACATATAATATGTGAAATGGGGAAAATGAAAGAAAGATTTTATTTGCGAAATGTTATTTTGTTCTGGTAAATTTTTGGGGGGCTTTTTATAATTTATTAACCATTTTTCATTGTTCATTGTTCATTGTTGTTTAACATTGAATGTTATATATATATTTACACTGACAGGCAAAATATTTCACCCACTTGTAAAAAAAGTTGTATTTGTATATAATACATGGTATTTGTAGATAATACTTAGTATTTATGGAATTTTATAATCTTTTTTACCTTTAATAATCAAAATGTGATTGGGTAAGAAAGATTAGAGAAAAAAAAATTGAAAAATGAACGATTATTATTCTAAAAGAAATTAATTACATCATCGTTTAGTAGCGCGTGTTTCCTTCTCTTGCCTTCACTACTTCTTGAAGACGCAACAACCAATTCTGTGTGGTGCACCATTGAAGGATAGCTCATTCCTCCCGAAGAGCCCTTTCAAGGTCCTGCAGTGTATCAGGAAGTGTTGCACGCGCTCTTATTCGTCTTCCGAGGTTATCCCATAAATGCTCAATGGAGTTCAAATCTGGAGAACGTGCTGGCCAGGCTAAAACCTCAATATTGTTCTGTTGAAGGAACGTCTGCACTATGCGGACGACATGTGGGCGTGCAATATTGTGCATTAGAATAGAACGATCGCCGATTTCGTTGTGGATAGGCAACACATGAGGTTCCAAAATCTCATCTACATAGCGAATGGCCATCAAAGACCCTCCACGAACAACAACCAATTCTGTGTGGCGCTCCATTGAAATCCCAGCCCACACCATTTAGGAATCACGTTGGAAAGGTTGGCTCTGGGAAAAATTACAGGCTGCAGATCTTTCGTTTCTTCTTCTCCACACCCTATCACGCCCGTCTGGAAATCGAAGAGCGAATCTTGACTCATCTGTAAAAAGTACAGCACTCCATTCGTCCATAGTCCAATGGCTGTGTTCTTGAGCAAAAGCCAGTCATGTTACTCTGTGAGTTCTGGTCAACTCTGGTCCTCTTACTGACGAAAAGCCATTAATCCATACTCATTTAATCTTCTCCGAGCGGTACATTCAGAAATTTGCACACCTTGAACTTCTTCGAGCTGATGAATCGCTTGACAACGGTAAGGTGCTGGTTTCGTAAAATTCTCAAAGTCAAAAACCAGTCATCCCGTGGTTCTGTTACCCTAGGCCGTCCAGAACCGGGCCTTCTATTGTAAGAACCAGTTTCCCGAAAATGCCTGACGGTGTCTCGTAAAGTTTCATATGGAACTCCAATGGCATTAGCTGAATATCTAATGGAACGTCCATCATCGATAAGTGCCACACCAAGTGCATTATCCTCAGCACTAAGAGGCATTTTTAAACTTAATATTGAAAAAATTAAAAGCCGGAGACTAAGAAATGTGCTGCAAGAAACAGCACTGAACTAATGATACTGAATAAACCTTTTGATTCCATAGAAGGTAAACATTGGAATCTAGAATCATTTCATTGAATTAAGGATTAAGGGTTATTGTCCTCTATATTAACATTCCTAATTGAAAACAAACAAAAAGATTACCTATTTATTCATTAAAAACAATAGACCAATCCAAGGCAGAAATATTTTTAGATGAAAACATGAAAAAATCAAGTGGGTGGAATTTTTTGCCTATCAGTGTATATATATTATATATATATATATATATATATATATATATATATATATAATTGTGTTTTTTATAGAAAAAGAAAATAATATATACATTTTGATTATTCTTAAGTTAATTTTAAAATCATTAATACAAATATTTCTTTGGGACTGAGGGCTTACATGTTCAGTAACTGGGAATGGTTCGAGATCCAATAAATGACATAATTACACTTAAACATATATATTTATAATTAAAATGAAATACATAATTTTATCAAATGATTTAATTAATTATTGTAATAAATAATATACTGTTCATATGATCAAAGTATATTAATTTAGTCTTGCTAAAAGTCTGGAAATCTCTATTCTGGCTTAAAATAAATGAATTGTGCTGAATACAACTGAAACTTAAAACTGAATACACTCCAATAAGTAAAGAAGTGGACTTTATTAGCCGTTGGTCATGAACCAGCTGCTCTTGACTTCTGGTCTAAAGCTGGATGGAAACTGACTGTGTTGGCCGAAGGCAAAGCACCCAATGACTGTATTGGCTGAAGGCAAAGCACCCAATGACTGTGTTGGCAGAAGGCCAGGCTCTAACTGCTGTATTGGTCTACTCCCACTACCTCATCCCCTACTCAAGTGCCCTACAATTCACGGGAAATCAAGTTTCAAAATGAAGTCTAAATAAAATCACAACAGTGTGTGCATGTGTTTTTTTTTTTAATGAGGGTAGGGGGAAATCTTCAAAAGACACAAAGAATACCTATCCAGATGTGGGAATCTTACTCACTAAAACCATCTCCCTACACCTGTTTCTCAGCCCTCCACGGGACTACCATTAGGCATTACTTCATGGAGGGGGAGTGGGAGTGTGTAGCCTCATCCTCTGAGGCCACCTCCTGGCTCGCCTTTTCTTCTCCTCGCTCCTCAGTCTCTTGACCTGTGCTGCTAGGTGTTGTTCTACATTCCAGCATTTTTGAGAGAGCAGCATCAGTCCAACAATATTATCAGCCATTGGTTCTGATCCGCAGGCCTCTCTTAAATTCACCTTGAACCTGAGCCTTTCATCGATTATAATTATGTTATCACTCATAATTTTTATACTGTATATCATGATAAAAACTCCAGACTTTTTTGGGGGGAGGGGAGGAGGTTCATCGCCTCTCCCCCCAACTAGAATGGAAAGTCTGCACGTATAGCCATTTGGATTGGAAATCAGGAGCTGATGAGAGGACATCATGAAAATTGGCGGATTTGGCTCGTCGTATTCTTGTTTACATTTGGTTGAGGAGCACCCTAAATGCTTGACCGTCATCAGCAAGCATAGTACGTCTAAAGCATCTATGAGCAGCATCACATCCTCTTCTAAAGGTCTTTAATTTGCTGACACATCCAGGGAACCGGAGAACGACAAGAGGTAGAGGTTTTGAGGAGGGCTTGGCCATCAAGGATATTAAAAAGATTAGAGATGAGAATGTCAACCTTGGAAAAAGTAGAGGAGCAGGAATATATGCCAGGTATGCCAGGAATAGGAGCAGTCTGGCCAGAGACAGCAACCAGTCAACATATCTCTGTATTATTAAGTATCCTATTTCGTTAAAATTTCTTTGATTTCTGCCGTTTTTTTTTTCTTTTTAATATTTTTTATTAAAAGAAATTATAGACATTTCATATTTCCTCTCTACTCATCGAAAAGTGAAAGTATCGAAGTTTTTATACTATTGCGAGCTACGGGACAGTGGTAAACAACTGAGCTCTAGAGGATTAAGCGCTGCTGTTGCTATTACGCATCATGACAACCCGGCTTGTTATTGTAAGTACGATCTATTTACTAAATAACAATATGGCACAATGCCCGCTATGCAGCAGCACCATCAGCCGAGAAGAGAAAAATATTTTATGTTGTGTTAAATGCAAACTATTATTTCACAGCAGGTGCGGTAAACTCAGTGATAAAGAGTTTGAAGCTCAAAAATCCTCAAAAAAAGGATGGATATGCGCTAGTTGCGATCAGCCTAAAAAGATTTCACCAGGTGGTGAAAACCCAGATCAAAGTCACAACACTGAGCCTACACCATCAGAAATTCTGGCAGCCGTAAAGCGGCTAGATATTTTTTTCAACCAGGAATTAAAAAATATTAAAGTAGCGCTAGATAAGTACGGAGATCTGAGCTTCAAAGTAAACACTAGGCTATCTAAAATTGAAAACCACTTAGAGGGACAATCTAAGAAGCTTGAAGAAATAATTTCAGAAAATAAAGCCCTCAAATCTAAAGTCGGTGAACTGGAGGTCAGGCTGAATAAAGCCGAACAGGGCTTGCTTAGTAGATCGCTCGAGATACGGGGCATCCCGGTTCGAGTAGGTGAGACCCCCGCAGCCCTGGTTACAAGTATTGGGGCCGGTCTGGGAATTAAACTCAATGTCGAAGATATAGACACTGTACAGCGCCGAAGAGCAAGAAAAGATGACCCTCGACCACCGCCTATAATCGCGAAATTCGTCAGGCAGTCAGTGAGAGACGACCTGGTGCAGAAGCGAAAAGTAAAAAGGGACTTCTCGACTCGGGAAATCGGTTGGCAGGAAAATGACTGCCACCGTATTTATCTCAGCGAGGAAATGACCCCGACGAACAGGTACCTTTACTGGCTCGCTCGGCAGAAGAAATCA